AGCAGACTGACTAATGCTTCCTGCTTCATTGTGAGAGTTCTAGAGTTTGGGAAGGAGATGACAGTGAGTGTTAAGTGTCACTGGCTGGGCAGCTCCTTTCTGGGAGGGAGGAACCATCACCGTTCCAGTCACTTGAGACTGCCTGTGCCGCTTGGAGGTGGGTAGGCCAAAGAGTGGGATTTTCCTTCTGTGGCCTTTAGCTGTTTTCTGCACCTCTCTGCTCAGATTCCAGACATTGATCACAATGCAAAGCTGCTGCAGCCTCCTGCTCCTGTCATGCCTCTGGATACCAACTGGCCTCTGCTGACTGTCTCCAAGGGGTTCTTCGAAGGAACAATTGCTAGCAAAGGTATTGCTTTGTACTTGGAAAGGTGCATTAAGCTGGGGTATGCAGGATGGAGATATTTATTTGTCTCTGTGGCTCCTGAACTGTTGCTGTTAACCTCAGATTTGTTATGTGTTACTAGCAGAGATTGGAATCCAGCTTGGCATTTACACAGTCTTGGCAAATCTCTCAAATCTTTGGCCTTTTAGCACAAGATGAGACTTAACAATTGGAGGGGAGGGTGCTGGTCTAATGTAATTCTTTGCTTAACATCTGACCCACTCAGAAATGAGCAAATGAAGGATTCTACCCTTTTTGTAGGCAAAGGGGGTGCCTTGGCTGCTGATATTGATATCGACACTGTGGGCACTGAAGGCTGGGGAGAAGATGCAGAGTTGCAGCTGGATGAAGGTGGGTGAATCCCAGAGTTTTTCTTGCAGAGGTGTAAGTGTGTGCCTGTGTAAGAGCTCTGACTATTTCTCCTCTGCCCCCTCCATGCAGATGGCTTTGTGGATGCTGGAGAGGGCTTTGGAGAGGAAGGCCTAGGTAAAGGACAGGAAGAAGGAGGTGGATGGGAAGTTGAAGAAGATTTGGATCTTCCCCCTGAACTGGTAGGAGGCTTCTGAGAGGCTTGTTGAGCAGCCCAGTTGTAGTTACTTGGGAAGGCGATGACAGCTTGTGGTGGTGGTGGGGGAAATGTGTTCTGGGCTTCTTCAGAGACTCGGTCATCACAGCTGTGGCCAGCTCTGATTTCACCTGGGTGCTGGAAACTTCCGCACTAATCACTGCTCTGTGTGTTCCCCCAGGATGTACCTGCTGGTCCAGCAGGAACAGCGGAGGACGGATTCTTTGTGCCCCCCACCAAGGGCACCAGCCCAGCTCAGGTAGCGGCACAAGTCTTTGATTGTCTTTCTCAGAAAATTTCTACTTCGCTGCTTCTTTTCCGGTTCAGTCTTTCTTGTTAACACGTGCCTGCGAGCAGAGAGTAGGAATTTAAGTGGAGTTAGGGGTGATGAGGGTAGGTAAGACAAAGGTGTGCATATACACAATATGTTTCCCTTCCATTCTTGTAGGTGTGGTGTAACAATTCTCAGCTTCCTGTTGACCACATTCTGGCAGGCTCCTTTGAGACAGCAATGAGAGTAAGTTGCTCGTGGAGTTCCTAGGGAAAAGATTGTGCTCTTGTCCTCACGTATTTTATCTCTGATCCAGTCTGAACCTTCATTTTGTGTCCTTCTTTGAATCATTTTGTGCATTGTTTTCGCTGGGTATAAAATAAGAGGTGCTGTGAGCCTGAGTGACATCTTTTGTACAGCCCTGGACAACTTTTACTCAGCAGTTCAATGTGTCTCTTCCAGCTCCTCCATGACCAGGTAGGAGTAACAAACTTTGGACCCTACAAGCAGCTGTTCCTGCAGACCTATGCCCGTGGCCGCACGACCTACCAAGCTCTGCCATCTCTCCCTGCCATGTATGGATACCCACATCGCAACTGGTAAGCGATCGGCTTAGCTCCTTTCCTGTCCTCTTTCCCTTGGGCCATACACCCCCCAGCCTCCTCGACAGTTGGAGCCAGAAATGTCTCCAGTTTCTGTTGTGAAGGAAGGAGCCTTCCCGTTTGTGGGTATAAACAGGGAGCATTCTGTCTTTAGTGGGATTTTTCCGCTGCCTGCTGTTAGATGTAAAGAACTGCTTTCATTTTTTTTATTTTAGAGACTAAAACCAGGGTGAGGTGGTTGGGATGCTGTGTTTTCTAGCGCTAATGCTCTGCCTCTGACAGAGCTGGTGTGAGGCATCTAGAGAACCACAGGTGTGTTTTCACAGTGGTGCCTGGGAGCCACTGTAGAAAAATGAGCCAGACTTCCCAGCCTGCGCTAATGCAGAGTGAGCTGGGCATTGTGGGTGGCAGAATTATGGAAGCACAGATGTCTTTTGTGCTAAGCTAATGGCAAAGAAAAACAGCGTGGCCCTAGGTCAAAACATTTCTGACAAGTTGCAGTCGAGCTGACGATGTGTGTGTTCCTGCTGGCCTCTGCAGTGGTCTCATTTGTACCCCCAACCCCTCTTTGGTGCCCCCAGGAAAGAAGCTGGCTTGAAGAATGCCCTCCCTGCTGTTGGACTGAAACTCAACGACCTGATCCAGCGCCTGCAGCTGTGCTACCAGCTCACTACAGCTGGCAAATTTGAGGAGGCCGTGGAGAAGTTCCGCTCTATCTTGCTCAGCGTGCCCTTGCTGGTTGTGGACAACAAGCAGGAGATTGCTGAGGTGAGACGCAGGCTCGTGTCTGTTTTCTGTGTGCCCGTGGGGCAGGAGGCTGAGTGCCTGACTCTGTCTCCCTCTCTGAAAGGCTCAGCAGCTGATAGCCATTTGCCGGGAGTATATTGTAGGACTCTCGATGGAGATTGAGAGGAAGAAGCTGCCCAAAGAGACCCTGGAGCAACAGAAGCGAATCTGTGAGGTACAGAAACTCTTGTGAATTCCTTCACTTTGAGGGAGATTGAGGGGGAAGTAGCCTTTGGGTTTAAAAAGGAATTGGGAATCCTGAATTCTGCCATTTCCTCTTTTAAATTAGATGTGGTGGTGATTACCTGGGAGGGGTTTTTTGCAGCATTTTTCAGAGCATCCAGCTATTCCCATGGTTGGTAGTGATTGTATCCCTGCTTTCCCTCCTTCTCCCTAATGCAGATGGCTGCCTATTTCACCCACTCCAACCTGCAGCCTGTCCACATGATCTTGGTGCTGCGTACCGCTCTCAACCTCTTTTTCAAACTCAAAAACTTCAAGACAGCTGCTACTTTTGCCCGTCGGCTGCTGGAGCTGGGTCCAAAGCCTGAGGTGGCCCAGCAGGTACGTCTGTGAGGTGCATGGCCAGAAATATCTGCTGTGGCAGACCCCGCCTGGACGGCTTCCTAGCTGCCCCTCGATGTGATTGCTTTTTGCAGACGCGCAAGATCTTGTCAGCGTGTGAGAAGAATCCCACTGACACCTACCAGCTCAACTATGACATGCACAACCCCTTCGACATCTGTGCTGCCTCTTACCGACCCATCTATCGTGGCAAACCCGTGGAGAAGTGTCCGCTCAGCGGAGCCTGCTACTGCCCGGAGTTCCATGGGCAGATCTGCCGCGTCACTACGGTGAGGGAGGCTCAAATTCTGTTACCACCCGCTCCTAACCCGCGATGTTTCCCTTGACAGTTCCCTCCAGCAGCTTTCCCCCGTGCTTGCCCCTAACTTGGCGTAGGTTTTGGGTCAAGTTGAATGTTGGAGGACTTGGCACGTGAGGTGGAACAGTTTGAGAATTGTGAAATATTGCGTAGTTCAACTGCTACCTGCGGGGTCTGACATTGTGGCCATCAGCGGCGGGCGTTCTCGAGAACCGTCCAGGCTCTGAGCGCCGCGTGTGGGGTTGGGCTGTTGAGTTGCTTTTAAGCTTTAATCATCTCCCTTTCATTCCTCAGGTGACGGAGATCGGCAAAGATGTCATCGGGCTGCGGATCAGCCCACTCCAGTTCCGTTAGGGCATGCCTGTCCCAGGGAGGTGTGAGACTGGAGGGAACCGGTCCTGTTCCACAGCACAGTGTGGAAACCTTCACCTCCCACCATTCCAGCTTTTAGTTCATAGTCTCTTCACCATAGCCATGCCTGTGCTGTGTCTTCCCTGCTCTTCCCCACCCAGGAATGCTGTAGTGAGACAATTTGCTGCTTCCAAGTAGCAGCAACTTGAGCACCTGTTTCCAGATCCAGCTGATGTGAAGTTTCTGTGTGCCCTTGTCCCAGAGCAGATTTTTTTTCCAGAGGATAAAGGGTGGTTCTTGCTGAGCTCTGTTTACCACACAGTGCGCTTTGTAGAAACTCCTTGAGAGTCAGCAGCTGCCTCTTACGTCCTTTAGTGTCAGGCTCCTGAAAGAAGAGCTCGAAGACCCTGCTGCAGGCTGGAGAGCAGGAATTGCTGAGCCTGGCTCTCGCAGGACCGCGGCCCTGTCTGGATCTGGGCTCAGTGCAGAGCCTGGCCCTGCTCCGGGGCAGCTCTCCGCCCCGCGGAAGTGGCAGGAAAAACTGCTCAGCATTCAAGTGCTAGTGTTGACTTTTTGTTTTGTTGTCCTAGCAACGCTTCTCAAAATAATCAGCTTCTCTCACAAATAAAGTAGATTGACCATCTTGATCTTCCTGTTTTGGAGCTCACTTGGTTTTACTGAGATAGAAGAGAGATAAGGTTTAATTTCCTCTTCTCCCCTCGGTCCCTCTTCTGCACTCCTAAGCTACCACACTTAGAGGTTTCTAAACTTTCCAGAAAATGGAGGCTGTAGTCCTGAAATAATTTATCACGCCGGCAGGGGCTGCTTCTAATTATAGTTAATTATATAGTTAATACATAACTGCTGTTGCCAGGGCTCAAATTATCCTCCTTGGTAATGCTCCTGTCTTTGCGTTTACCTTGCGTAGTTGTACCCTTTAGTGTTACTGCATCTTTCCCCGTGGCACTTCGCAGGCTGGAGGATCTCCAAAGCCGGGCAGATCGTGGCTTCCAGCAGTGACAAGGATGAGAAAACACATCTCACATCCATGGAGGAGCAGAGGGTAGAACGCAGAGCTCCTGCTCCCTCTGTGGCTGGACTGCTTTCCTAGTGCTTCCTCCTCAAACACGATGCTGAAATAAAACCATGCCTTACACTAGGATTTTAAACCTTTTATTTTATACATAAAAATGAGGAGTGGGGATGTCCCCATCTTAAAGGCGCTGCTTCCAGCTTTGCATCGGTCTGGTTCGAGGAATGTTCACAGCGGTGGGGGGAGATGCAGCAGCCAGGGCTAAGGGTGAGGGGCCTTAACAATCAGGGTATCGTGGCAGGCCACCGCAATGCCCCCGATGAGGTTCAGGAACTCTTGGAAATCTAGCTGCCCATCGCTATTCAAATCGAGTTTCTTCATCATCCTGTCCACAACACCTGGGTCCTGATTCTGCAAAAGAGCCAAGAGATGGGAGTCGATGTCTGCCTCGAGGCAGAGGTGCCCCTCGCTGAGCCCCCCCCCCCACCCCAGGCGTGGAGCTGCCGCTGCCCAGTTCATCACCAGTGGAGAGGGACTGGCAGAGAGAGGCAGAATTTGGTCAGGCCGCACTCTCATCAGGCTACACTGTGGCTTCTGGTGGGAGCAGAGGCTTTTAATTGCTGTCCCAGACGCTACGGGAGCTGCTTTTGGCCTGGATTTTGCTCACCTTCGTGAAGGCAGCCAGCTCGGTGTTCATGAAGGCCAGGAACTCCCTCTTGGAGAGCGTGCAGTTGTCCCCCTCGCGCCCTGCGTACCGCTGGAAGACGGCTAGCAGGGACTCGATGCAGCGTTCGGTCTCCGTGGGCTGCAAGAGCAAGGTCAGGTGAGCGTTGCAGGGAGCTCGGGGCTCGCAGGGGAGCAAACCTGGCTCTGTTTCTGGAGGAAGGCTGAGCTGAGGTTGGGGGGGGGACGGGGACTCCTGCTTTCTTCGAGGAGTCTCATATGCCCAACCTGTCCAGCTGCATTTTTCTTTGGTATTAAGTTCTCTGATGCCTTGGCACAGCACTCTAGTGCGGGAAGGACCCGGAGGCTTGGGGAGTGGTGCATGGAAAATCCCCTGGGGAGATGTCAGCTCCCATCAGAGGAGTGTCCTGGACTGGGAAGAGGTTGTGCTGCAACCACTGCAATGTGCTAGTTTTTTCCGTGCTCTCCAGCACGGCTTGGCTGGGACTGCATTTGTAGAAAGATAAGCCCGTTCTCCCCCTTCCCTTCCCCCTGCCCGGTCTGGACAGAGGAGAAACTCTGAGTCACCAGAGAAAAATTCAAGCAGAGTTAGCTCCCCAAGCTCCTGCCTGCAGGCAGGGACAGAGCTGGTCTGGAGAGGGCAAGGTGAGGGACATGGGGGGGGACGTGGGGCTCTTTCCCCTCCCCATAGCTCCAGACTTTGGGGAACTGGGCTGGAGCCCACCCTTCCCTGCCCAACCTCAGCATCCTGGGGCCTCCCCGCCACATCCTGCCCTGCCTGAGGCTCAATTCAGCCTTTTTTTTGGTTAATGGGAGAGGAGCCGGGTCTCTTCCGCCCTCAGCCGCAGGTCCTGGGCTCCTCTGTGCCCCCCACCCTGGTGCCGAGGGGGGGGTGAGATGGTGGAGGCAGAGCTGCAGCCCTGACTCTGGTAATGGGCAGCGGGGGGAAAAAAGGAGGAAGGAGGGGGTGGGGAACAGCACCAATGTCACCCCTTGGTCCCCCACACCTGCAGGGACCCTCTGCCCACCCTGTGTAGCTCTACACCCTCTTCCCGCGCCCGGGCCCCCTCCCCGGCAGAGATTTAGCTCCGCTCTTGGCACCTTCTCCCGTTTTCCGTGCCAAAGCGTTTCTCGCCTTCGGCTCTGGGGCCGCTTGCGGGAAAAGCTCCTCAGCCCTTGCCCTCCTGCCCTGCCAGAGCCGTCTTCTCCCTCCCCATCCCCGGGGCTCACCATGGCTGGGGTGCGACGAGACGGGGTTGGGGAGGGAGGCTCGGTCCTCAGCACGGCCGCGCTGGGATGCAGCAAAGCCCGAACCGGGGCGGTTATGAGCCTCAACGCCGCAGCCACCGCCCTGCCCGGCGCAGCCACCGCCCCAGCCCTGACTCAGCCCCCCCTGAGCCGCGTTGGGCAATCGTCAGCTCTAACGGCAGATCGGGACATGCCTGCGGTCCCCAGCTCCGGCTCAGGAATGTGCTGAGCCCCTCCTCTAGGCTCTCCATCCCTTTCCCTCCCGAGTTTTATTCTTTGCAGTTATTTACACTCCCGTTTTCTCCTTGTCTGTTTTCTCCCCTTGGTCCTTTGCTGCTTGTCCCTCCATTTCTTCCCCAGGGTCGGGGCTGAGCCCCCAGCCCAGGCTCCCTCAGTACTACCTGGAGCGTCCTCAGAGTTTCCTCTTGCTACAGCGAGATTTGGGCTCCCCCATCTCTGCTAATGAGGCCGGCAAAGGCAGATCAGATGAACAGGCACCATTCCCCCCTCCTGCAGTGCTGGGGCTGCTCACTCTGGGGGCTGGCTGCTGCTTGTCCCCTTCAAGCCCGACTGGTCCCACTTGCTCAGTTTTGCTGGTAACACCTTGTAAAATGGGGGGGAGGAGGAAGCCCTGTGGGGTTGGGGGGCTCTGTGGGCAGCTGGCTGCAGCCAGGATTTGTCCCCGGGGGTGCTGGTCTGAGCTCCTTGCCAGGTCTGGCCACCCATTGTGCAGCTACAGAGAGACTCGGGAGAGCTAAAACCAGGGAGAAACAGAGGTGGAAGAGGGAGAAGGAGGCACCCAGAAGGGCAAGGATGTGTCCAAATACCTCGGAGGAGGGATTTGTGCCCCAGGGGAGCCGGGGAAGCTGCTCCCTGTTTACCCGTGTTTGCACAGCCGTGCCGTGGTTACAAACCCACTTCCCCGCCTTTGCGACCGGTGCTGACACAATCCCTCGCCCGTGGCCGGATTTCCCCCTGACTCCCAGCCCTGGGTGTTTCCGTGTTTCCCCAAAAGCTTCAGGGGACCCCGTAGCACAGAGGTGGGGGGTAACACAGGCTGTCCCCGCCCGGCGCGGGTGCTGGGATGTGCTCTGGGATGTGGGACAGCTTCCAGGGCCGGGGCTCTTTGGAAAATGCTGCTGGAGACTGAGTCAGCATAGAGCAGGAGAAAAAGAAGCAGCCACTCAGGGCGACAACAGTCCCCAATATGTTTTCCTTTCTTGTCCCAATTTCCTGCCCCAAAGCTCTCCTTTTCCCCCATGTATTGGGGGAAAAATACTTCCCACTCCGCCATCCAGCCCCTCCCAAACTGGAAACAGTTCAGTCCCTGTAAAGACAAAAATATTTTCCAAACCTGGGAGCCGAGGGCAAGAAACCTGGTCCTCTTCTGGGATATTTGCAGTTCCACCTGCATTTGGCAAACTCTTCTTTGTTGCTCCTTTAACAATAAAATCGGAGCTGGTCGAGTGTTATTTCCCCCTTTGCAAGAGCAAATCCCAGCGGGGGTGATGGCCCGGCCCCGTCCTGTTTGATTTTGGGAGGTTTCTGTTCCTTGCTGCTGTGTGTGTGTTTGCAGACGAGGCTTTGGCCCTGGTTGCAGACAGACCATCTGTGCTGCCATATGTTTGTCACCGAGACACGCGCCTGTCGCGTGCACGAAGGGGACATCGCCCCGCGCATCCACCTGCCCCGGGCTGGGACAGACCCTTCTCAGTCCTCCTGGCATCAGGTTTAAAACATCTCAGGATGGTGGCTGTGGCTCGGTGGCCAAGAAGCCCTGAGTGCTGGTCCCTGAGGTTGCATCAGGCTCTGGTGGACCTGAGCTGCCCTTGCTCCTCCTGGCCAGCCCCGTTGCCAGCCAGCGGGCTCTGGTTGCATTTAAGAGCAAGACACAGATGGTGCTGGGGTTGTCCTCGCTTCTCTTTTTCTCTTCTTGCAACACTGCAGCCCCATCTGCTGCTGAGGCAATCGGTTCTCTCTGGCTCAAGGGAAAAAAAAGTGAATAAAATCTGGTTTTCTCCATGGAGGGTCATGGATGTCTCCACCTCCAGCCTTGTGCACCATGTGTGAGAGCGGTGACTTCTCGGGGCCGTGCTGCTGCCTCTCTCCTGCCTGAGGATCCAGGAGTGGCCCCAGGTACGGGGCAGCCCAGGGGAGAAGGCAGATGGATGCGTGTGGCCAGGAAAATGTGTGTCTGGATGGCTCTTAACCAGCTGTGGCTTTGCACCGCTGGCTGTCCCCGTAGTGCACAGGCCCGTCCGTGTGTCCCCACGTGGGTGTCAGACCACAGCGTGTGCAGGCTGTGGTGGGAGCCCCTGAAACCACGCAGATCAGTGGGGAGGGCCGGAGTTTGAGAGGTATGTGGGCTCCTAAACATGTAGTAGGGAGGATTCGGTGGGATTTTCAGCGGCCCCTGTCTGGATTAAATGTTTGGGATTAGGAGGAATGTGTGATCTGAGCTGGGGCACCCTCCCACCAGGCTGAGGCCCTCGTAGAAATTAGATGCAAGAATGAAAGATGGCAGCAGCCAGTGCAGTCATCAGCTATTTATTCTGATTTTTCATGCAATACATCAGTGTGAAGAAGAAAAAGACACACCCCCCCCACCATTACCCTGCAGTAACCACAGCATAACTCGACTGCCTCAAAGCCTCCGTGGGGCTGAAGCTGGGATTCTGCTCAGCTGTTAGGGGAGCAGAAAAGTGTAACTAAAAGCACTGAGTCTAAAAAAGAGTGGTGTTTTGTTTTGTTTTGGTTTGGTTTTTTTTGTTTGTTTTCCCCCAGCCTCGAGGACCTTCAGGCCCTGGAATAAGTATGATTGAGCTACTAGAATTTTTAATTCTTGATCCATTGCAGAGCTGAAGCCAACAGGAGAGCCAGTCACGGGGCTAGGGAGATGTGAGTGCAGTGAAATGCAGAACAGTCATGCCACAGGGTAGAAGAGATGACAGGGACATAAAGGACAGAGAGACCCAAGGAATCCAATTAGAGCAGAAAAGTGACTAAATATTGCATTAATGTGGATAGACATAATGCAGGAAGGCAGAAACCGCAGATCCTGCAGTAACTCTCTGCCTACCTAGCTGCTGAGGATTTGTTACATGGGAAACCCCCGAAACCCACTTGACACCCTCTCAGAGCACCTCATTAACCCTTTTGTGTCAAACACTTCTGTGCCACCACACGGTGACATCCTAAGCTGAAAGCAGAGAGCAGAAGTGATCCTCAAAGAGGTTTAGAGAAGCCCCATCAGCTCCAGGGAGAGGACTTCCCCTTAAGATGTCTTGGCTTCATCCCCGGCAGGACAGCTCGGTTCCTCCTGTGAGAGGGGGGGGCCCTGGCTCTGCTTGGTGCAAAGACGTGGTTCCTCCTCCCGTTGAGGCTGGGCATCGCGCACTGGCCGGGGGCTCCTCTTGCTGTTCTCCTGCCGTGGCTGGCGGCTCTCCTCTGGTGGGGGAAGCTTTGCATCCTCACGGCAGCGGATGGTTTCATCTCTCCGGGGTGTCTGGGGATGGTTCTCTTTGGTGGCTTGCTGGCATGGCTCGCAAGCGTCCCGTGGTTCTGGAGCCTGGGGCAGAGGTGGGCAGCTCCTGGCCTCCCTGTCCTCACGCTCTCTCAACTGGCAGCTGGACTTGGGCTCCGAAAGGACCTGCTCCCTGGCAGCTTTTGATCCATCTCCCCCGGGCTGATGCTCATTCTCTTGTACATCAGGCATCTTGGGGTGCTGGCTGTCCCTCCTGTCCTCCTTGAGCTTTGCCTGGCAAGCGTTACCCTTAACACCATCTGGCTCAGAGGCAGAAGCCTGGTGAGACCTGTCCCTCACTCCCATTTCAGACCTCTCCTGGGGCTCATTGAGGATTCCTGTGTTCTCCTGGGAGCTAGAAGCTGGTGTTCCCCCTTGCCGTGGCAGTTTGGACTCCCTTGTTTCTCGCTTGTCATTTTGGGGTCGTGGATCTGGGTGGTTGCTCTTGTCACACGGGACTGCTGGTGGCTGGGGTGACACACAGCACTTCTTCACATAGACAGGCTGTCCCAGGTCATTGGCCTGGTGGCAGATGATCTTGTAGGTGGTAGCTTCAGGATCATTCAGATTCTGGATCACATGGATTAAGTACGCAATGGTCTGAGGTTTACAAGCCTCAGGGAGGACCTGTACTTCTGGGGGTACATTAGGCTCAGCAGGGATGTAACGGACCCTCATGTCGGTGACAGATGCCTGCTGGCCTGCAGGGAAGAGGTCTCTGTTGTCTACCTCAACCGTTTGGTAGAGGCTTTTCTTATGCCTTAGTCTTTCATCCTCACGTGACCGGCATGTGTTTTCCTCAAGTGCTTCTTCCTCATGTAAAAGCTGATGGATACTCCTTTCTTGATCGTCTGAGGGATCGCTCGGAATATTCTCACGGGCATCAGGATGTAGTTCACTTCCATGATGACTGTGCAGAATCTCTAACTCCTGATCTTCGAGTCTCTGGAGGATGCTGCTCCTGCAGGTCCCTTCATCGGATCCCATGGCAACTTGTTGTCCACTCTTCTGTGTATGGCGGCTGCAGCGCTCATACACCTCCAGCTCGCGTTGGCGATCGGTCCTGCCGTTGCACACAGGCTCTTCCCTGTCTCTTCCCTGGAAAGTCTTCTTCTCATCCTCTGATTCTTCGCACTCACGGGGATGCTCCCTCCTTTCCACATCATCATGGGGCTCCTCTTCACAGGACATGGGTTGACACTCCCTCCTTACCACGTCGTCACGGGGCTCCCTTTCATGGGACACACGGTGGACGTTGATGTCTCCTTCTGCCTCTGCTGACTCTTGCGTCCGTTCGAACCTCACGGACTCACGTTGTCTCCTTCCCTCATCTTTGGGCTCACGTGTTGGAGGGTCACGCCTCTCGCGTGTCTCTCTCAGGTCGGTGGTGGCACCTCGCTCTTCCCTTTCGCGTGTCTGGCGGCTGCGGCGCTCGTAGGCCTCCAGATCCAGCTCGCGTTGGCAATCGGTCCTCCTGTCATCCATTGGCTCTTCCCTTTCTCTTCGCCGGCAAGTCCTCCTGCCATCCTCTGGTTCTTCGCAAACACGGGATCGCTGCCCACTTTCCACCTCGTCATGGTTCTCCCGTTTGCTGGACACACGGTGGACCTTGATATCCGCTTCTGCTTCTGCCTCTGCCGTCTCTCGCGTCCGTTCGAATCTCACAGATTCACGTTGTCTCATTCCCTCATCTTTGGGCTCACGTGTTGGAGGGTCACGCCTCTTGCGTGTCTCTCTCAGGTCGGTGGTGACACCTCGCTCTTCCCTTTCACGTGTCTGGCGGTTGCGGCGCTCGTAGGCCTCCAGATCCAGCTCGTGTTGGTGATCGGTCCTCCTGTCATCCACGGGCTCTTCCCTTTCTCTTTGCCGGCAAGTCCTCCTGTCATCCTCTGGTTCTTCGCAAACACGGGGACGCTGCCCCCTTTGCTCCTCGTCATGGGGCTCCCGTTTGCGGGACACACGGTGGACCTTGATATCTGCTTCTGCTTCTGCTTCTGCCATCTCTCGTGTCCGTTCGTACCTCACGGATTCACGTTGTCTCCTTCCCTCGTCTTTGGGCTCACGTGTTGGAGGGTCACGCCTCTCGCGTGTCTCTCTCAGGTCGCTGGTGACACCTCGCTCTTCCCTTTCACATGTCTGGCGGCTGCGGCGCTCGGAGGCCTCCAGGTCCAGCTCGCGTTGGCGATCGGTCCTCCTGTCATCCACGGGCTCTTCCCTTTCTCTTTGCCGGGAAGTCTTCCTCTGATCCTGTGGTTCTTTGGACACACGGGGATGCTCCTTTCTTCCCACCTCCTCATGGGGCTCTTCTTCACAGGACATGAGTCGACACTTCCTTCTTTCCATGTCGTCACGTTTCTCCCTTTCCCGGGACTCACAGTGGACCTTGATGTCTGCTTCTGCCTCTGCCGTCACTCGTGTCCGTTCGAACCTCACGGATTCACGTTGTCTCCTTCCCTCATCTTCGGGCTCGTGTGTTGGAGGGTCATGCCTCTTGGGTGTCTCTCTCAGGTCGGTGGTGACACCTCGCTCTTCGCTTTTGCGTTTCTGGCGGCTGCGGCGCTCGGAGGCCTCCAGATCCAGGTCAATTTGGCGATCGGTCCTCCTGTCGTCCATTGGCTCTTCCCTATGTCTTTGCCAGCAAGTCCTTCTGTCATCCTCTGGTTCTTCGCACACACGGGGACGCTGCCCACTTTCCACCCCGTCATGGTTCTCCCGTTCACGGGACACACGGTGGACGTTGATGTCTGCTTCTGCCTCGGCCATCTCTCGTGTCCGTTCGTACCTCACGGATTCACATTGTCTCCTTCCCTCATCTTCGGGCTCGCGTGTTGGAGGGTCACGCCTCTCACGTGTCTCTCTCTGGTTGGTGGTGACACCTCGTTCTTCCCTTTCACGTGTCTGGCGGCTGCGGCGCTCGTAGGCCTCCAGGTCCAGCTCACGTTGACGATCAGTCCTCCTGTCGTCCATTGGCTCTTCCCTTTCTATTTGCTGGCTAGTCCTCCTGTCATCCTCTGGTTCTTTGCACACACGGGGACGCTGCCTCCTTTCCACATCATCACGGGGCTCCTGTTTGTGGGACACATGGCGGACCTCAATGTCTGCTGCTGCTTCTGCCGTCACTCGTGTCCGTTCGTATCTCACAGATTCACGTTGTCTCCTTCCCTCATCTTCGGGCTCGCGTGTTGGAGGGTCATGCCTCTCACGTGTCTCTCTCAGGTCAGTGGTGACACCTCGCTCTTCCCTTTCACATGTCTGGCGGCTGCGGCGCTCGGAGGCCTCCAGGTCCAGCTCGCGTTGGCGATCGGTCCTCCTGTCACGCAGAGGCACTTCCCTTTCTCCTTGCCGGCAAGTCTTCCTGTCATCCTCTGGTTCTTCGCAAACACGGGGACGCTGTGTCCTTTCCACCTCGTCACGGTTCTCCCGTTCGCGGGACACACGGTGGACCTTGATATCTGCTTCTACTTCTGTCTCTGCCATCTCTCGTGTCCGTTCGAATCTCACGGACTCACGTTGTCTTCCTCCCTCATCTTTGGGCTCACGTGTTGGAGGATCACGCCTCTCGCGTGTCTCTCTCAGGTCGGTGGTGACACCTCGCTCTTCCCTTTCACGTGTCTGGCGGCTGCGGCGCTCGGAGGCCTCCAGGTCCAGCTCGCGTTGGCGGTGGGTCCTCCTATTGCTCACGGGCTCTTCCCTATCTCTTTGGCTGCAAGTCTTCCTCTGATCCTCTGGTTCTTTGGACACACAGGGATGTTCCCTTCTTCCCACCTCCTCACGGGACTCTTCTTTGCAGAACACGGGTCGACGCTCCCCACTTTCCACATCGTCACGGTTCTCCCTTTCTTGGGACATGCGGTGGACCTTGATATCTGCTTCTGCTTCTGCCTCTGCTGTCTCTCGTGTCCGTTCGAATCTCACGGATTCACGTTGTCTCCTTCCCTCATCTTCGGGCGCGCGTGTTGGAGGGTCACGCCTCTCGCGTGTCTCTCTCAGGTTGCTGGTGACACCTCGCTCTTCCCTTTCACGTGTCTGGCGGCTGCGGCGCTCGTAGGCCTCCAGGTCCAGCTCGCGTTGGCGATCGGTCCTCCTGTCGTCCATGGGCTTTTCCCTTTCTCTTTGCCAGCAAGTCCTTCTTTCATCCTCTGATTCTTCGCAAACATGGGGACGCTGCTCCCTTTGCTCCTCGTCATGGGGCTCCCGTTCGCTGGACACACGGTGGACCTTGATATCTGCTTCTGCTTCTGCTTCTGCCATCTCTCGTGTCCGTTCGAACCTCACGGACTCACGTTGTCTCCTTCCCTCATCTTCGGGCTCACGTGTTGGAGGGTCATGCCTCTTGGGTGTCTCTCTCAGGTTGGTGGTGACACCTCGCTCTTCCCTTTCACGTGTCTGGCGGCTGCGGCGCTCGTAGGCCTCCAGATCCAGCTCGCGTTGGTGATCAGTCCTCCTGTCACGCAGAGGCACTTCCCTTTCTCTTTGCCGGCAAGTCTTCCTGTCTTCCTCTGGTTTGTCACACACACGCGGTCGCTGCCCCCTTTCCACCTCGTCATGGGGCTCCCGTTCGCTGGACACACGGTGGACCTTGATATCTGCTTCTACTTCTGCCTCTGCCATCTCTCGTGTCCGTTCGTACCTCACGGACTCACGTTGTCTCCCTCCCTCATCTTTGGGCTCACGTGTTGGAGGGTCACGCCTCTCGCGTGTCTCTCTCTGGTCGGTGGTGACACCTCGCTCTTCTCTTTCACGTGTCTGGCGGCTGCGGCGCTCGTAGGCCTCCAGGTCCAGCTTGCGTTGGCGATCAGTCCTCCTGTCGTCCATTGGCTCTTCCCTTTCTATTTGCCGGCAAGTCCTCCTGTCATCCTCTGGTTCTTTGCACACACAGGGACGCTGCCTCCTTTCCACATCATCACAGGGCTCCAGTTTGTGGGACACGCGGCGGACCTCAATGTCTGCTGCTGCTTCTGCCGTCACTCGTGTCTGTTCGTATCTCACGGACTCACGTTGTCTCCTTCCCTCATCTTCGGGCTCGCGTGTTGGAGGGTCATGCCTCTCGCGTGTCTCTCTCAGGTCGCTGGTGACACCTCGTTCTTCCCTTTCACGTGTCTGGCGGCTGCGGCGCTCGTAGGCCTCCAGATCCAGCTCGCGTTGGCGATCGGTCCTCCTGTCATGCAGAGGCACTTCCCTTTCTCTTTGCCAGCAAGTCTTCCTGTCATCCTCTGGTTCTTCGCAAACACGGGGACGCTGTGTCCTTTCCACCTTGTCACGGTTCTCCTGTTCGCGGGACACACGGTGGACCTTGATATCTGCTTCTACTTCTGTCTCTGCCATCTCTCGTGTCTGTTCGTACCTCACGGACTCACCTTGTCTCCCTCCCTCATCTTTGGGCTCGCGTGTTGGAGGGTCACGCCTCTCGCGTGTCTCTCTCAGGTCGGTGGTGACACCTCGCTCTTCCCTTTCACGTGTCTGGCGGCTGCGGCGCTCAGAGGCCTCCAGGTCCAGCTCGCGTTGGCGATGGGTCCTCCTATTGCTCACGGGCTCTTCCCTATCTCTTTGGCTGCAAGTCTTCCTCTGATCCTCTGGTTCTTTGGACACACAGGGATGTTCCCTTCTTCCCACCTCCTCACGGGACTCTTCTTTGGAGAACACGGGTCGACGCTCCCTCCTTTCCACATCGTCACGGTTCTCCCTTTCTCGGGACATGCGGTGTATCTTGATATCTGCATCTACTTCTGCCTCTGCCATCTCTCGTGTCCGTTCATACCTCACAGACTCATGTTGTCTTCCTCCCTCGTCTTTGTGCTCGCGTGTTGGAGGGTCACGCCTCTCGTGTGTCTCTCTCTGGTCGGTGGTGACACCTCGTTCTTCCCTTTCACGTGTCTGGCGGCTGCGGCGCTCGGAGGCCTCCAGGTCCAGCTCGCGTTGGCGATCGTTCCTCCTGTTATCCATGGGCTCTTCCCTGTCTCTTTGCCGGGAAGTCTTCCTCTGATCCTGTGATTCTTTGGACACACGGGGATGGTCCTTTCTTCCCACGTCCTCACGGGACTCTTCTTCGCAGGACATGGGTCGACACTCCCTCCTTTCCATGTCATCACGGTTCTCCCTTTCATGGGACACACGGTGGACGTTGATGTCTGCTTCTGCCTCTGCCATCTCTCGTGTCCGTTCGAACCTCACGGACTCACGTTGTCTTCCTCCCTCATCTTCGGGCTCGCGTGTTGGAGGGTCATGCCTCTCGTGTGTCTCTCTCAGGTCGGTGGTGACACCTCGTTCTTCCCTTTCACGTGTCTGGCGGCTGCGGCGCTCGGAGGCCTCCAGGTCCAGCTCCCGTTGGCGATCGGTCCTCCTGTCACGCAGAGGCACTTCCCTTTCTCCTTGCCGGCAAGTCTTCCTGTCATCCTCTGGTTCTTCACAAACACGGGGACGCTGTGTCCTTTCCACCTTGTCACGGTTCTCCCGTTCGCGGGACACACGGTGGACCTTGATATCTGCTTCTACTTCTGTCTCTGCCATCTCTCGTGTCCGTTCGAATCTCATGAACTCACGTTGTCTTCCTCCCTCATCTTTGGGCTCACGTGTTGGAGGGTCACGCCTCTCGTGTGTCTCTCTCAGGTCGGTGGTGACACCTCGCTCTTCCCTTTCACGTGTCTGGCGGCTGCGGCGCTCGGAGGCCTCCAGGTCCAGCTCGCGTTGGCGATGGGTCCTCCTATTGCTCACGGGCTCTTCCCTATCTCTTTGGCTGCAAGTCTTCCTCTGATCCTCTGGTTCTTTGGACACACAGGGATGTTCCCTTCTTCCCACCTCCTCACGGGACTCTTCTTTGCAGAACACGGGTCGACGCTCCCCACTTTCCACATCGTCACGGTTCTCCCTTTCTTGGGACATGCGGTGGACCTTGATATCTGCTTCTGCTTCTGCCTCTGATGTCTCTCGCGTCCGTTCGAATCTCACGGATTCACGTTGTCTCCTTCCCTCATCTTCGGGCTCGCGTGTTGGAGGGTCACGCCTCTCGCGTGTCTCTCTCAGGTCGGTGGTGACACCTCGCTCTTCCCTTTCACGTGTCTGGCTGCTGCGGCGCTCGTAGGCCTCCAGGTCCAGCTCGCGTTGGTGATCGGTCCTCCTGTCACGCAGAGGCACTTCCCTTTCTCTTTGCCAGCAAGTCTTCCTGTCATCCTCTGGTTCTTCGCAAACACGGGGATGCTGCCCCCTTTGCTCCTCGTCATGGTTCTCCCGTTTGCGGGACACACGGTGGACCTTGATATCTGTTTCTGCTTCTGCCTCTGCCATCTCTTGTGTCCGTTCGTATCTGACAGACTCACCTTGTCTCCTTCTCTCATCTTCAGGCTCGTGTATTGGAGAGTCACTCCTCTCGCGTGTCTCTCGCGTGTCGGTGGTGACACCTCGCTCTTCTCTTTCACGTGTCTGGCGGCTGCGGCGCTTGTAGGCCTCCAGATCCAGCTCGCGTTGGCGATCGGTCCTCCTGTCGTCCATTGGCTCTTCCCTTTCTATTTGCCGGCAAGTCCTCCTGTCATCCTCTGGTTCTTTGCAAACACGGGGATGCTGCCTCCTTTCCTCATCATCACAGGGCTCCAGTTTGTGGGACACATGGCGGACCTCAATGTCTGCTGCTGCTTCTGCCGTCACTCGTGTCCGTTCGTATCTCACGGATTCACGTTGTCTCCTTCCCTCATCTTCGGGCTCACGTGTTGGAGGGTCACGCCTCTCGCGTGTCTCTCTCAGGTCGGTGGTGACACCTCGCTCTTCCCTTTCACGTGTCTGGCGGCTGCGGCGCTCGTAGGCCTCCAGATCCAGCTCGCGTTGGCGATCAGTCCTCCTGTCGTCCATGGGCTTTTCCCTTTCTCCTTGCCGGCAAGTCCTCCTGTCATCCTCTGGTTCTTCGCAAACACGGGATCGCTGCCCACTTTCCACCTCGTCATGGTTCTCCCGTTTGCGGGACACACGGTGGACCTTGATATCTGCTTCTACTTCTGCCTCTGCCATCTCTCGTGTCCGTTCGTACCTCACGGACTCACCTTGTCTCCCTCCCTCATCTTCGGGCTCACGTGTTGGAGGGTCACGCCTCTCGCGTGTCTCTCTCAGGTCGGTGGTGACACCTCGCTCTTCCCTTTCACGTGTCTGGCGGCTGCGGCGCTCGGAGGCCTCCAGGTCCAGCTCGCGTTGGCGATGGGTCCTCCTATTGCTCACCGGCTCTTCCCTATCTCTTTGGCTGCAAGTCTTCCTCTGATCCTCTGGTTCTTTGGTCACACAGGGATGTTCCCTTCTTCCCACCTCCTCACGGGACTCTTCTTTGCAGAACACGGGTCGACGCTCCCTCCTTTCCACATCGTCACGGTTCTCCTTTTCTTGGGACATGCGGTGTATCTTGATATCTGCATCTACTTCTGCCTCTGCTGTCTCTCGTGTCCGTTCATACCTCACAGACTCACGTTGTCTTCCTCCCTCATCTCCGGGCTCGCGTGTTGGAGGGTCATGCCTCTCGCGTGTCTCTCTCAGGTCGGTGGTGACACCTCGCTCTTCCCTTTCACGTGTCTGGCGGCTGCGGCGCTCGTAGGCCTCCAGATCCAGCTTGCGTTGGCGATCGGTCCTCCTGTCACGCAGAGGAACTTCCCTTTCTCTTTGCCGGCAAGTCCTCCTGTCATCCTCTGGTTCTTCGCAAACACGGGATCGCTGCCCACTTTCCACCTCGTCATGGTTCTCCCATTTGCTGGACACACGGTGGACCCTGATATCTGCTTCTACTTCTGCCTCTGCCATCTCTCGTGTCCGTTCGTACCTCACGGACTCACCTTGTCTCCCTCCCTCATCTTTGGGCTCACGTGTTGGAGGTTCACGCCTCTCGCGTGTCTCTCTCAGGTCGGTGGTGACACCTCGTTCTTCCCTTTCACGTGTCTGGCGGCTGCGGCGCTCGGAGGCCTCCAGGTCCAGCTCGCGTTGGCGATCGGTCCTCCTGTCATCCATTGGCTCTTCCCTTTCTCTTTGCCGGCAAGTCCTCCTGTCATCCTCCGGTTTGTCACACACACGTGGTCGCTGCCCACTTTCCACCTCCTCATGGGGCTCCCGTTCGCTGGACACACGGTGGACCTTGATATCTGCTTCTACTTCTGCCTCTGCCGTCACTCGTGTCTGTTCGAACCTCACGGATTCACGTTGTCTCCTTGCCTCATCTTCGGGCTCACGTGTTGGAGGATCACGCCTCTCGTGTGTCTCTCTCAGGTCGGTGGTGACACCTCGTTCTTCCCTTTCACGTGTCTGGCGGGTGCGGCGCTCGGAGGCCTCCAGGTCCAGCTCGCGTTGGCGATCAGTCCTCCTGTCAACCACGGGCTCTTCCCTTTCTCTTTGCCGGCAAGTCCTCCTGTCATCCTCTGGTTCTTTGCATTCATGGAGACACTCCTTCCTTTCCAGCTCATCACGGGGCTCCACTTCACGGGACACGGTTCGATGCTCCCTTTTTTCCATGTCGTCATGGTTCTCCTGTTCCCGGGACACCTGGTGGATCTTGGTGTCTGCTTCTTCTTCTGCCATGTCTTGCATCCATTCAAACCTCACGGACTCACCTTGTCTCCTTCCCTCGTCTTCGGGCTCGCGTATTAGAGGGTCACGCCTCTCGTGTGTCTCTCTCAGGTCGGCGGTGACACCTCGCTCTTCCCTTTCACGTGTCTGGCGGCTGCAGCGCTCATTGGCTTCCAGCTGCACCTCCCACTGGTCCTCGATCCTTCTTTCATATACAGACTTTTTTCTCCCTGCATTATCTCGTTCTTCCTGCTTCTGTTCATGATGTACGTCTCTTTTGCTTTCTGGATATGTAAGCTCATTTTCCTTGTTCTTCTCTTGTTCATAAATGTCTCTTTCTGCCTCACGGGTCTCATAGTTCCTGAGATTAATTTCTAGCGGTTCCTGTATGTAGGATTGATATGGGCGTGTTGAGTCCAGGCATTCAGGCTCACGTGGCTGGTGGCTGCTGCGTTCAAGTGCTTTTTGTTCCAGGTCACGTACATCGTAGCGGTTTCTCTGTCTTGTGAGTAATTCAGGTTTATGTGGCTGATTTTGACTTCTTCTATCTTCTTCTTGTGGCCTCTGGTTTATTTGATCATGTGCAGGTAGTGCTGGCTCGTGTGGCTGATGGTTACTCCACCGGTTTGGCAGTGGTTGTGGTTCACAGGTCTGGCTGCAACTCCTCACGTCTTCCAGTTGTTCTGATTGAAGGCCCTCTTGATTTTGTCTCTCATTTTCCTGCACTCTGGGCTCATGTGCTTGCAAGCTGCTGCGCTGGCTGAGCTGTACATCTTCTCGTCTGTCTGGCTCCAGTGGCTGACGTCTTCTCTGGCTGTTCTGTTGGTTGCAAGGCTCTTGGCTTCGTTCTTCATATACGTGAGGGATCAGTCTCCCTTCCTTGGTGCGTTGTTTTGCATCATTTCTGCTTTGTGTGTTACGTTGCTGGTGATGACTCCCCTCTTCCTCTAGTGTTTCAAGCTCACTGATCCTGGTGTCTTCTTGCAGCTCACAGGGGGGATGATGATTACCCTCAGAGGCTTTTTGTTCCTCCTCCTGGAATTGCCGACTGATCCCTCTGTTCTTAATATCTGGCTCTCGGAGTGACTTGCCAGTGGTTGTCAACTTTGTTCTTTGCAGAAGGCATGGTCCCTTTGGCAGGTACCAGTAACAAGCCTTAGCCACTCCGAACACCAGAAGCAGGAACTCATTAAAATCTATTTTCCCATCATCATCCCACTCCAGAAACTTCAGAATCTTGTCAATTGTCTGAGGGTCATGCGGCTTCTGCAGGGAAAACACACACAGGGAAACAAAAAATGGGATTTTAGCCTTCCTGCTCCTTGTCAGAGAAATTCAAAGACAGGGACAATTTCTCCTTCTCTCTCTCACACCTTCACTCTTACAGCTCAACAACAACTCCATGTCTTTGTTCTCCATTTTCCTGGTTGTTCCCCAGCTGCAGCTAACTAGATCTCTTCTCTGGGATATGCTGTATTGTTCTGCTGGATGCATTTCCTTCTTACCTTTGAAAGAATACCATACCTCCCACAGTTCATTTTCCAGCTTTTGCCCATTTGCTCATGGCAAAATTGGTTGGAAGAACTGTCGAAGCAGTTAGTGCAAAGGAACTCAACTGCTGCTCCCCTTTGGTGATAGCCTCCCCGTCCCACTGACATAAGTATCCAGAGGAAGATTTTGCAGTCCCTGCACTGCAGTCTTGGCCTCAAGCCCTCCCCCTCACAGCAACACTCACATCTATGACATCTGCAAACTCCCTCTGGATGAACTCTTTCATCTTCCTTCGGCTGAGGTTGGAGCAGTCTCCATCTTCCTTTGCCTGTTTGTGAAAGACGCTGATGATGGTGGAAATGCCGTCTAAGAAGCAAGACATCTTCCTGCAGATTCAAGCAAGCCTGCAAGAAGAGGAGCAGACCTAAGGATGGGAGATTTTCTTGCCTCTGAAAAGAGGAAGGAGAATTGCTGGGGCCAGGCTGCGTGTGTTAACGAGATGCTGGGTGCCATGTGCTATGTGTCCTCTCCTGTGCCAGGGCGAGCTCTGTTTGACCAGAGCACTGGGAAGAACTTCAAATGCTTAGGGGTTTTAGTGGGATGGGGAGTGTCCTCCAACCTATCTACTGTTGTATTTGAGTGACGTTTGACAGGGGATGGCAAGATGCCTGCATTTGTAGACCACAGGGAGGGAACTGGGGATGATGACTCAAAAGATGCCCCAGGAACCCATCCCCATGGATGGTACTTATATTTCCAGGACCCACACTGTTATCTCTGCCTGGCACTGAGACACACCAGCTTCTGTGAGCCAGGTTAGAAGATGTCCCAGCACTGGCAAGGTCTGAGACAAGATCTAGCTGGGTCAGAGACAGGTAGGGTGCTTACACAGGGAGTTAAAACAAGCCCTGTGGCAGATGCTCCTGTGACCAGTAGTAATGCAAATCAATCAATAAAACTTTCATTACAACATCAGTTCATTGGCAAATAGGTTTTGGCCAGAGGGGAACTGTCAGATCACCTAGGTTAGTGTTACTTATTTAATTTTACTGAAAACTGCTTGGCAGAAAGCAGTGCTGATGTTGGAGCTTTGTTTCTGGAAACTTCGGAAGCCACCTCCTTCCTTCCTCCTCATAGGATCCCCAAGCCTGTATCATCTACATCAGTGCCAAGAGCTCACATCTGGGGAAGCTCTGCCGTGTCTGCCTTGCTGACTCTATAACACGCACATACACATGAACACATGTGCACACCTCTGCATACAGCATCCTGTTTTTTGGTATTACTGTAGAAAACAAAATTTTCCCAATTTGTTCATTCTGGCTGGGAGCTGATTCCAGACCAAAGTAATGCTCAAAACCTGGCTCCCCCTCTTGTTTTCCCTTTGAGAAAAGCTGCCTCTACACATGGAAGCATGATGACAGCATGCAAGTGTCCGAACAACACAAACCAACATTTCTCTGAATATAAAAGCAAAAGGCTTTCAGAAAATACTGCGGCAGGAATGATGCTGCCACCCAACATGAATCCTATAGAAATAACATATCCTTGCCCAGCAAAATGCACATTTCAGAAGGAGTGACTTACCCAAATCACCAGCGGGATCAAGTGGGATTCCTGTGAAGCCGTGCAGAGCGATCGGAGGACCCGAGTGCTTTTATAGGGTCCATGACGGAGCTACAGAAAGGAGACACCCTTTGTGGACGTTGTCCTGATTCATCTTTGGCCAAGCCCAGCTGCACCTTGACGTCCTCAAACGGGTTATTTAACTTATCATCCCCTTACCTATCATTTTAACCCAGAAATAGCAGTTGCCATGTGGCAATTCAGGCACTGGCTGGTTCCACCTAATCCAGACTGTAAAGTTATTTTACAGGCTGATTGCATTTCAGATTTTAAAAAATCTGGAGTAGCTATAAAGTGTATATATGTATTCACGGGAGGGTGTATTTTTATATAAATGTACATATGCATAAGTATGAATTTAAATATACAACACACACACACATAAAAGTACTGCCAGAAATTTTGAAGATGAGGACAGACTGCTGATGGTAGCAGAGCTCACTATGAGGACAGTCAAGGTCTGTATGGCCCATGATCTTGGTACCACAATATCAGAGATTATTTTTGTTTGCTTTTTGCGCTGTTCCTTTGGCACGTTGGGCCTGAAGTCAACAGGCTTTGGGTCTAGCTTTCAGTCACAGAAGGACAGAAGAAGACCTAAGTTGTATGAAGATGATGAACTGCAGGTGCAGAGCAGTGAGATCCTCAAATCCTCCAGATCTTGGCTTGCGTGGTGTCCTTGTATAGTGTTTTATTTTTGGTAGCTTCTTATTAAGGAGCCTTTTTGTTCTATTATCCAGGTTTTTGTTGGAAAAAAAACCAACCACAAACAGAACATTTTTAAATGGTAAAGTTTGCAAAATGAATTTTTGTACAAGAAAATGTCTGTTCAATACGCAATGACTTTTCATTGAGAAAAATAATGATAAAACACTTTTCACATTAACTGTCTTCCATGAACGACTTTCATTTCAACTTAGCTTGATCTTTAATTAAAAATAAAACAGAAACCTCCCTGCCGAGAGGTCGATTCATGTTGAATCTTCATCTTGTTGCCCTAGGCAGCTTTTGCTGTAATTACCTCTACAATTTTTTTATTATTATTTTTTTTTTAATCTTTAACAGCAAAATAATTAGAGACCAACCTATTCGTTTATTCACCCCAAATTCTGCCAGTACACAGAACAAATAAGGAAGATACCAGCCGTGCCACCTGGGCCCCTGCTTTTTGTTTTAGAGGTAGGATGATGCCTTGACAAGCATGACGGAGACATTGCAGAGAGTCTTCAGAGCATGAACTTGTCACGCAGCCTTGGGTGAGTGGCTCATCTGGCCCATCTGTAAGGTAAGATCATACTGGGTGTAGGAGCCTAATTAATTAGTGCTGGTAACACCTTGGGGATACTCATACAAGTGCGTACGAAGGATTGTTACTAACCATACTTCATTTTTGAGCTTTTTTTCAAGATTAAATTATACTTGTGCAAATTATACCCCACCTGTGGGATAATAACACCCTTGGGAAACTGTAATTTTATGGTAGATTGGAGTTATTATTAAAATTAAAGTATTAGAGCGTGGCTCGGTGTCCTGTAACAGTCTGTAATCCCCCCGCAGGGTCTGGGGCAGTGCGGGATGGTCGGGTGCCATGTGAGCCATCCATCAGGCAGAGTTTGGGTATCGATGCAGGAAAAGGTACGATGCCTTTTGGCCATGCGTTTCACCTGCTTTCCCGGGCTCTGCTGCCATTCCCAGAAGAAAACAAGGAATTTCAAAGCACGTTCTTGGCAGTGCTGAAACCCCCTTTTTCTCCAGGGGCTTTGTTTTCCCCAAAGATGCTTTCATAAGATGGAACTTGGATAGGTTTTTAAAAGTTATCACCCAAGAGGGTGGGCTCCATCCTCCTGCTTCTCACCCAGTTCTGTGCCCATCCCCATCACTGTTTATAAAGGCTGACCAAACATCTGTTGCATTTAATCTTAGAGGAATTGGGCTCCTTGTGTGGTGTAGAAAAGATCTCTTCCAACACCTCCCAGGCTTGCAGGACTCTTAGGTATTTTTGTCAGTGGAATAATTTTAATGTTCTTAAAATGAACCAAAAAAACCCTCTTAACTTCAAATACGACACTCCTGATGGCAAAAGTAGTGTTCTTCAGAATAGAGCGTATAATTAACATGTCCCTAACAGGGCTTGGTGCCTGCCTGAACTGGGAGGTCATTTTTTTATTGATGCTGCAAAAGGTGGCAGCTGATGGACAGACAGACTACAGAGGGATGGTTGGGTCTGGTGATTTTAGATCTGAAGCCAGACCTAATAAGAAGCAAAGAGCTAGAGGACAAACCTCTAACTGAGACCTATTTTACAAGAAAAATTAAGTTCTCTGGAAAATGCCATGTTTTGAAGAATGTCTCAGGTGGAATGGGGTTTTTGAGAGATAGGTGATGAAATTTAAGTTTTGACTCTCCCACTGCGTGTCCACAACTGTTATGAGGTAGTTCAGAACTTATTATTGCTAATATGTTTTATCAGGAGTAGAGCAGACTGGTGTGCTTCATGTCTAATACATTTACTTTTGACATTAGCACTTTTAAAGCCGATCATTTTTGCGATGTACATTCTGGGGGTAGTTTTGAAATGCTGGTTTTTCTGATTCAGCACTTTGCAAATTGTGAAATTCTGGGGTGTCCCAGAGGAATGACGTTTTATTTTCCAGTGAGGTCTCTGTGTGCTGCTTGTCACCAGCCACAGAGCAGGAGGTGCGAGTGCATTTATCGTGCTGATTTTGCTGATAGGTCTCAAGTGAAAGATAGCATGGTGAAAAACAGGCTGAGCATCACCTTCCCTGCGGGATGCAAGTCCTTGGGTCTGCCTGGTGGTCCAGCATGTCTGAACCCCCTAATAAACCCCACTGACTTCACCGGACTGCTCATGCCCTCAGAGTTATCCACATTCCTATGTGCATGTCTGGACAAGGGCTCAAGGACCTGGTACCCCGGACTGTCTGAACTGAATCTGAGTTTGAGATTGGCTCCATTTGTGCACCATTTGCCTGCCAGCTTTTTATCTCTGGCCTCTCAGTTGTTGCTGGGACTGGATGTATCCAAATAATCATTTTTCCTGTGTTTAATATGTTTCCGCTCCTTCGTTTGGAGAATTCCATAGCTAATAGGGATTTTTGATCTTCATAGCATGCTCCACATTCCCCTTGCTTCTGAGATTATTAATAAGTGAGATTAAATAGGACAGATCCCTCCCATTCAGTGTTAAGCAGCTGTTTATTCTTTTCACAACAGACATGAAAAATGCCCAGAGCAGATGGGTGCTGTGAGGGATCTCTTCAGGTTGGCCATACTGTTGTGTTAATCCAGACCTCTACCCTCTCTGAAGACATCTCTCACAGAGATGTCACATCCCTGCCCACAGGGAGCAATCGATTCACCTCGGCTAAATTGCAAAGGCGGTTGAGCAGCAGCTCCTTTAGGCTATCCACCCCCAGGACACACCTGCCTCTCTGCAGCCACCCCTCCATCTGCACCCTGGAGCAATCTGGCCATATGTCATGCAAGGGACGGGCGCCCAGGTCCTCTGCACCACATCATGTCAGCCTGGCAGTTTGCTGAGGGTTCGCTTGCAGCAATGCGCCGGGACACTGTGACATTTTGCCTTCAGCTTTATTGCTTTGCTTTACACAGAGGCAGCCGAACAGAGAGTAAGAGGGAAGGTCTCTAGTCATGCATAGCTCGGTACAAAGCAGGGGTGTGAAGCCCAGGGTTAATAAGGAATTAGAGAAGACATGACAAATAGAAATGCAAACCCAGGGTGGGACTGGACAAAATGTACCTCATTGCAGAGGGCAAGAGCCTCACTTAGCCAGGGGCTTGTTTCAGCCTTTACTGCTGTGGTGGCCACTTATACAGAGGCTGCAGGAGCTGTTGCTCTATAGGGGGTTGTCTTTGGTGATGAGCATCTTGTTCTTGTTCTGCTGGACAAGACGGAGCCTCTGCTCTGCTGTGCTCCTGCTCCAGCACCTTGGATTCCGGGAACTGATGGCAGACTGGCTCATGGCATGTTCCCCAGGGCTTCAGATCCCGACGGCGGCTCGAACCCCACTGTGGGGACAGCAGATTCTGGGTCTTGCTGTGGTTGGGGTCCTGCCAAGGGGCCTCACAGATCTGGGTCTTGTTTAGGTCTCTTCCTTGTGTCTCAGAGGGACAATTCAGGTCCTGCTCTGCTGGCTCAGTCTCTGGGATCTGATGGTGGTTTGAGCCCTGTCCTGGTGCCTCTGTTTCTTGGGCCTGGTGGGTTTTTGGGTCCTGTTTTGGTGTCTCAGTCTCTTCAGCCTTATGGGTATTTCTGTCCTGCTCTGAGGTTTTGGTGTCCAGGTTCTCACCTCTCTCTGGATCTCCTTCTGGTGCTTCAGTCCCATCATCCTGATAGTTGTCTTGGTCCTGCTTTGATGTCTCACCTTCCTGGGACTGATGGTTGTCCTGGTCCTGCTCCAGTGTCTCACCCTCCTGGATTTGATGGTTGTCCTGGTCCTGCTCTGGTGTTTCACCCTCTTGAATCTGATGGTTGTCCTCATCCTGCTTTGATGTCTCACCCTCCTGGGTTTGATGGTTGTCCTGGTCCTGCTTTGATGTCTCACCCTCCTGGATTTGATGGTTGTCCTTGTCCTGCTTTGATGTCTCACCTTCCTGGACTTGATGGTTGTCTGGGTCCTGTGTCTCAGTGTCCTGGACCTGATTGTTCACACGCTGCTCAGGGACCTGCTGGTTGCTTGAGACCTTCCCCGCTGCACGTGGCCCTGACGGCTGCTCCCCACGTGCCTTCTCTTGCACCATCAGCTCTTGAGCATCTTCCAGTGCCTGGTGCTCCTGGGATGGTTTGTAACAAGCCTTGGCCATGCGGAAAACCAGGCTGAGCAACTCGCCGAAGTCAACCCTGCAGTTGCTGTCATCACCCAGGAAGCGCAGCACCTTCTTGACTGTTTTGGGGTCCTGGGGGTTCTGTAAAGAGACAAATGGTGTCGTCAAAGCCTGTGAGCCATTTGTGCCATCTCTCTAGGAGCACCCAAGCAGTTTCAGGTCAGGAACTAGCTGTGGGGCTGGATTCTCACCTCCATTGCATCCGCAAACTCCTGCTCAAGGAGCTGCCTCAGCTCCTCCCTGCTCAGGGGGCTGCAGTTGCCGTCACTTCTGGCATACACGTAGAAAGCAGCAACAATGCCACTGATGTTTTCCTGGAACTGGGCCATCTCCCTGCAAAACTGATGCAGCCTGCAAGAAAAACACAGACAAAAAGGGACTTGGTTTGTTTGCTTGCTTGGTTTTCAGATAACTTACTCTTAAACAACATAGCTGGACAGGCAGAGAGAGAAAGAAAACCACCGATGAAATGAAACAGTCAAAGGGAAGGGAAGGAAAAAGAAAGAAGGATCTCACAGGAAAACAAATCTGAAAAATGAAAGTCAGCTTCAGAGATGGCTGGAGAAGTGAGGGACAGCGAGAGCCAAAAGGCTGGGGACACACAGTAAGAGGGGAGAGAAAAAAATCCCATTTTACTTTCTTGGGAGCAGAGCAGAGCTGTGAATGGAGGCTGTATCTAATGAACCATGGAATAGTGAAAATCCAGTTTCCTTTTATTATTATCTATTTCCTTTAAGAGAACTCAGTAGTGGCAGCTCCAGGGACTTCCTTACGGCCAGAAGCTCCTGCTTTTCTGCTGGTAGCAAAGTCAGACAGCGTGAACAGTCTGTCCAGGCTTACCTGGGTGAGGAGTAGGAGCGCTGAGCTTCAGGAGCGCAGTGTAGAGCAGATCAGCTCTTGGCCATCTTATATACAGTTCAGGATCACAGCCTGCATCTTCCAGAGGAGACACCCCTTCAGCAGGGCGACCTGAAACATCTCTCACCCAATTATGTTGTCATGCCCCTGTCTTCATTTGTCTCTTTCTCATTAACTTCTACTCGGATGCTTTTCTCTGGAGTTAATGCATGATCCTTCCTAAGCCTGCCCCACCTGCAGACACATTTCAGAGGAATTTAACAGAAATAGCTATTTTTACCACTGAAGGATTTAGTTTAAGGTGATGCCTGAGCAACGCCCGGGACTCGTGTTTGGCAAACGTGTTTTGTGAGGTGATCCCCAGTGACTGACATGCGGGGGAGGAGACTGCCCGGGAGCGCTTGCAAGGTGAATAAAGAGAAAAGGAAACAAAGGAAGAAAAATGAGGATATTGTGATGCCAAGATTAATGTCATTCCTTCCAGAAACTCCCCGTTCTGGATCCCGATGGGGAGGTAGGCATCGAGCAAAGAAATCTTTTCAAACAGTGCCACCAAGTGGCACGTGGAGTAGGACAGAGGGGTGACATGGTGTGTCCCAGAGCCAGAGAGCAGCTGGAATTTGTGGGCATAGTGGGCTGCGATCACCCATTTACCAGAAGGGGAAACTGAGGCATATGGCAAGGAAAGGACTTAAACTCCTTGTGCTGTGTCCAGCACCAGTCCCCACCACAACCCTGTGTCCTGTGGGTGAGGGCACCATACTGGGACCCAGTGGGTTAACTGGGGCCCCCACAGACCTACATGCAGTTATTGCTGTTTGCGCAGGAAGAGAAATTTTATATCTCCCTATGCTGTCTTATCACCCCCCAGCTGTTCCAAATGCAGTGTGACATGAAAGTTGTTTCCTAGGCACTTTGAGTAAGACTTTTAGATGTCCTCGCTTCAGATTTCTATTTTTAAAAGTCTTTTTCTTGACCAGTACATGGTTAATAAGAAAGACTAGGAAAAAAATTATATCAGAAATCCATGTAGCTTTTAAAGTACAAGGTGCTTGGGGCATAGAAAATAAAACACATCCAGTTCTGTACTAAAAAAAAGCACTTTCAGGAAAAGGCCCTGGTTTGCTTGGTGTCTGTCAGGGGGAAGGTTAATGGGTCCCACTTTGTTTATGTGAAATCCTTGCAGGGGTGCATGGAAGGGCTTGGAGAGGATATCTATGGGAGGCTGCAGGCTCAGGAGGGCTTTGCAAGCTGTCCTGTGCTTTGGTTGTCTGCTGAGTCCCCGAGCGAGCTCAGGGCTCCTTTTTCTCCGGCTGGCTCTCTCTGAAACCATGCCCTTTCTTTATGCTGAGAGGTTTCTAATATATGAGTTTTAATTCTAGGTGCCACCAAGCAGCTATTCTGTCTGCCCGAGTGGGCAGTGCCTGGGGAGGAGCTGTGGTCTTCTGGGCAATGCCCTTTTATTTCTAGCTATCCATCTTTCTATCATACCCACATGGAAATGCACCACTTTCCTCTAACGTGTGGCATGTCGGCTGCTAACCTTCTCATTAAGCTACAGTGAGGGTGGGGGGCAATTACTGGGGCACCTTGGAGAGGCAGAAGTGGTTAGGGTGGTTTTGGTGAAGTTATTTCTAGTCAAACCACCCAGACCCTGAGCACAGTGGCTTCTCCTCTTGTAGACAACTGTAGACAATAACAGGTTTATGTTGTACAGGATTTCATGCATGTTTTATGAGGCAGAAAAGGTTAGAAGGTCAAATGAGACGTGAAGAAGTTAAAAGTGCTGCAGAACAGAAAAGAGAAAAACATCACTTTTAACAGAGCTTGTAATAAATTATGTTCAACCCAGGGAGTGGAGGGCAGGTGCTTCTGAGACTTGTGCTAGCAAAATCACATGAAACTTCAGTGATGGTGCTGTGAGAACTGTGAAAGAGGAGGGGAGGCTTTGCATGAGCTCACATCTGGTTTGCAATGATGCTGGGGGGTTTTGAACAGGATTGGGATGGGGCTGGGAGGGCTTGTTCTTTGAAAAGGTCTGGAAAGAAGCTGATCTTTCTAGGAGCTCCTCTACAACATTTGTGCTGCTCTTTACCCCCAAAACTGCTCTTCCAGCAGAGCCAAATTGGTAAACACAATTAGCTCATGATGCCTTTGGCTGAAATAAAGCTTGAGCTCCAATTTCTCTGTTTTCACCCAGTATTGAAAGGAACCAGCAGCCTGAAGGCTGTGCCCCATATGGTTAGAGATTCCTGGGCATCTCAAGACCTTCAAGCCTTGCTGGTACTGGAAAGGCATCATTAACACCAACAGCCTGAGTTTTGGGGCAGGAGGGGTGGCTCCTTCCCCTGTGATGCCACCTGCACTTCAGAGGAGATAAATACTTTGAGAGTTTGCATTCAAAGGAGATAAAATGCAAGTTAATCTGGGCTGGCTTTCCAAGGTGGATTTACAGTGGAGACAAGGTGGGTGATATGGTGAAGGAGGGAACAAGTCTACAGCGCTTTGCTTACTTGGCAAACACATTCCACTAATATTGACAAATCTTTGAGGTGTATTTGCTGAAGGAGCTCTGTTTTCTGAGTTCACTGGTAGCAGATGTGTTGGGGCACTGGGCAAACCAACTACTCTGGATAAGCAGCGTGTATTCAAGCTTAGGCTGCTGGTGAAATGCTCTCTGGTTGCTTCCTTTAAGCAGTTTGATCACCTAATTTTATCCACATCTGTCCAGTTCACCTTTCTTTCTGTTTCTTGGGCAAAAAGTTATTCAAAGCATGCTGGTCTGTGTGTTCACACGAGGGGCAGCTGTGGTTCCCTGGGCTGTGGGCTGCAGAGCTGGGGTGGGTTTGGAGGAGTGATGTGCACCAGGGCTGGGTGAAGCTGGAGGTGGCACCTGGGGCTTTGGTGTGATCATTTGGAGCAGCACGATTCGTGTCAGACGTGCAGAAAAAAAAGAAAGGTGTGGAAAATCCAAGTGTGTATGGTTATGCAAAAGCTTTTAAATGATTTAGTAGCTGTTATTACCACCATGGTGATTGCTAAAGGTCTGCAGCTTAGCTCATGCTTAAATTTCTCCAGTATTTTAACATGTAAAACTCCAGGTAACCCAACCTCACCTAAAATTGTTTTATTTGAAAATATAATTAGAAAACTGGTGCCTCCTCAGACATGCCAGGGTTATTTTCCTCTCTTCTGCCTGAAGAACTTGTGGATCTGGGAAGTTACTCAGCTCCTTGGTTAAGGGGGAGGAAAGGAAGAAGCAGATGAAGGGGGCATTGGGAGGGAAGGAGGCACAGGAAAAACATTACCAGCAGTTGGGGGTGTGTGATGAGCATGTCAGGCAGTAATGGCAGGGACTGGTGGTGAGCTGGTGTTGGGTGTTAGGACTCGGGGGTGTTTAAGGTCTAGGGCACAAGGGGGTGGGAGTTAGGTCAGAGTGGTCAGGTTTCTCAACAAAACAACAAAGCAGGACATTACTGTTGATTCCTGCATGACTGTTCCTGCTCAGCAGGGAAGAGCAGAAGGGCAGGTTAGCACTGATGAAGGAGGGAAAGTGCTGCACTGAAGGTTTAATGTGAGAAAACTTTTAAATATGGGTTTTGGAGAGCTGGAAGGCTGTGGGGCTCAAATGGATGAGGCTTGCTTTGAGAAGTTAGAAGAAAAAGCAAATGCTTGGTTAGTGCCTGCATTCTGTGCAGCTGTGAGACCTAGAGAATTTGTCAGTGGTTATTACCTTCCTAACATGCCCCCTCCAATTTTTCTTCCTGTTGTTTCCTTCTTTCTTTCGCCTGCTGAGAGCTGAGGGCAGCTTACACTGACGTTCAGGCTTACCTCCCTTTTCTTGCCTCGTTCCATACACAAAGCACGATTCCTAAACTTTCCCAGGGCTGGAGCCCATTATACAGCGGGTTTTATCGCTACATCTATGTCATTATCAGGAATTAAGCTAATTGGAATAAAATGCTTTATTTTCCTATGCTGCCTAGGCATTTCAGCAAGTTATTTCTGTTGCAACCTTCTTTATTGCTAATTCATTGTGACATTAAGAAGTGTAATACATCAGATTTTCTCTAATACATGTTTCCCCCTTTTTACATGTTAATGAGCATATTTAACATATTTCTTCAGCGGTAATTGGATTCTAAGTCTCCCTGTGGTAAAGCACTGAAAGCCAGCTAGCAATGCCTTTAATATCTAAAAGATTCTTTCTGCATTTGAATAATCCCACAATTAAAATTAAGAATTAATCTCTTGGCTGAAACAAGGCTTTTGAGGATATTTTTTCTTGTTTTGAGAGAGCTTTAATACATATGTTAAGTATACTTATAGAGGAGTTAATTAAACCCTTCTTTTGCATTTGTTCCCCAGAACTCACAAAGGGGCACAGGTATCTCAGATTATCTTGTTCCTCTCACCCACTGATCCTCTTTGTGAAGACAGAATTTTTCTGTTTCATTTGCTCATAACTTATCCAGCCAGCTGTCTTAATGCGAAACATAGAAGCTATCACTGAGTAAATTATTTTTTTTTCTGAAGGCGCAAAGGAACTCACAAGTGTACTTAATCAAGTCTAGGTCTGGTAAAGGAAAAGAAATTATGATACGTAGCTAGCCAGTGCATAGAGAGCACATATATTTTGTACCTCCATTTTAAGTAAATCTTTAGCAATTAGAAACTAAGAATAAACCTAACGTGGAAATAGGGCAGGGAGGAAGGTGAGATGAGATTATCCCACATTTACTGCTATGAAGAATTACTTCACCTCCTTCCAAAGGCAGCTGCTTTTCGCTGTGAGGAGGAGGACGCCGGTGCGGCAGTGTGCTCTGTGGCAGTCCTTCAGCCCAGATGTTTGGCAATGCTGTTAACTGACAGATGATCAAGACAAAATTAATCACTCAGCTACTACTCGTTACCTCCAGTCCAGAAGACTCCAAGTCTCCATGGTTTTTTATCTGTCATCGGAAAACAAGCTTTGCCACTGCCTGTCTGTTCCTTGCCTTTCATCTCCGAGCTCCGGTAGGAAATGTCCTCCTGCCTTCCTTCCCATGCCCTAAGCCGCCAGAGGACGCTGCGTGTGTGCATGCACGGTCACACGTGTGCGCGTTTGCTGTGGGTGCCCAGGCCAAGTGTGTGCATGCACAGACACACCTGCACGCGTTTGGTGTGGGCAGCTGGGACGCCAGCCCTCCCATCAGGTCTGCCGCCCGCACCCAGACCTCGCACCGAGGCCCTCCCTGAGCCAACCCCCGGGGGGTTTTAGGTTTGGAAAATCAGTCTCTGGGTACAGCTCTGACCGTGAACCAGCTTTTTGTGGTAGTGCTCAGAGGCTGGGCAGGTGGAGCAGCCCAGCTGTGAGCACTCCTCTTTGATTTTCTTACCCCCACTGTATCGTCCCGAGCTCGGAACCATGGCTCCTGCCACACGCGGGGACCTTGACTGGGGATGGAGGCAGCAGCAGTTCACTTCTGCCACCCGTGTGCCGGTGGAGCTTCCTGCCTTCTCCTGGGGCTGTCAGCAGAGGAGCTGGGCTGTGATGGGGCTGTCGGCTCAGTTGTGGTCTCTGCTAACTTGCTTCACTCAAAAGCTGAGTGTTTAGTGGAGACCTGAGTCACCTCTTGCGGCTGTGGTGGAAGTGAGTCACGGGCTGCGCTCATTTTGGCTGCTCCCCTTGGTGGTGGAGACAATTTTGGTGCCTTTGCCCGTTAGCTTCCTCACTGCCCAGCACATCAGTAGGAGAATTTCTGTTCCTTTTCCTAGCTCATTTTTGGAGGAAGCTGCAATGTGGGGCAATGCTTAGAGTCTCAGGATTAGTATCTTCTCTGGTTGGGGTAGAAATCTGCTTCCTGCTCTCCTGAAGAGCAGCTCTGGTCACCAAGAAGCGACCGCAGGAGCAGTGAGGGCAGGCTGAGAGGAAGCAACAAGAAGTGCTCGGGGGTGGCTGTGCTGAAACAACAGGAGCGTCATGTAGAGCAGAGGGTAGAAGGGGGCAGAGAGGACGTGTTGGGAAAGACGACCTGATAAACCCCACCAAAGCCGTGCTGGAGGTGTGGTGGATCTGGCTGGGCAAGGTGCCGCTGGGGAGGAGCAAGGCGTTGTGTCGGGCTGGCAACTGAGGACTGGAGTGGGTGCTCTGGGGCAAGACAGAGCTTGCCTGGCAGGGCCGCCCGTCTGGCAGCACCCAGCGAGGCAAACGGTGCGGGTCTGGAAGCTGCTGGCACAAGGCTTGGGGGGTGGCAGCAGAAGCAGGCTGATGCACCCTGTCCTGCACTGGGCTACCCGTGCCGCTTGCAGGAATGCAACTTTTGCCTACCTTACCCACTCCTCTCCTTTTTTTTTTTCCCAGAGAGATATAAAGACAAGGAAATAACCTGCTTTCTTCTTCTTTTTTTTTTTTTTTTTTTTTCTTCTCATAGAGGTTCATCTTTCTTCAGCCTGGTTTTCCCAAGAAGAGAAGCTTCTATGCTCCCGCTTTTAACATCCTAACCTATTATTTGCAAGCAAATTTGACACAGTGGCACAGTTCAAACAAATGCTAAATCTCTACTAGTTTCATGAAAATCAGTGGAGACTTGGTTAATGCTGCTGTACTAGAAAGGACTAATCAGTTCTCCTTTCTTTGGTCTGTTGGACACAGGACAGATGGTGGAAACCAGGCTCTACCAGTTCTGCCTGTGGTCTGCCTTGTTTAAGGGCAACATTGCTGTTTGCTTACACTGGAAAGGAGAGCACAGAGGAAGGTGTGCTGGGCTCTGGCAGGATCCCAGCCATTCTCAGAACCTTCTTGCCCGGTTGTACGTTTGTGCTGAAGTTTAGAGCTGTGTCCTGCTCAAAACGGAGCCAGCCACAGCCCACGGGCAAAAGTCACCTGGTCCTGAACCCAGCACAATGCTGGATGGGAGCCTGAAAACCAGAGGGGGGAAAATGGAATGAAGAAATAGGGCTTTCAGAGTCAATGTGGCAATGGCTGAACTTGTTCTTTTTGTCAAATTCTTCACTTAGTGCAGCTTCCATGTCTTTGGAAGAGTTACTCGCTAAGACCTCTCTGCCTTTAGTAAAGGGCAGGAGATGCTCCTTTTAACTGGATTTTTCAGTCTCCTTCCTGTACCTGGAAGACCCTCTGGAGCTGGTGACTCAGGCCAGGAGAATGCAGACTCCAGACTGGCACCGCTCACAGGTGCAGACGTGCAGCAGTTGACCTGCTCTGAAGGATCAGCTTCCTGAAATGACTCACCTGGCTCCATGAAACAAGCAGTACCAGCCCTGGGGTACTGCTTATGGTCCTTCATCTCAATACCAGCCAAGATGTCTGTTATACAAGCTTTCAGCCTTGTTGGCTGTGCCTGAGAAAGGAGATCCTCAACTTTTGTTTGCAAAGTTTGGCCCAACCCAGGTCAGATGGCATTTTGTCCTTTTCTTCCTCTCTGTAGGAAAGGTGTAAATTACTAGCTGATATGTTAGGAATGCCACAATCACACCTGATGCCTCTTTTCCAGCTGTACCAATTACACTCCACCCTGATGATGATGAGGTGTCACAAGGCAGGAGTAATGACAGATGAGTGAGGGGAGGAGATCATGTCGAGGGGAACATGAGAACTGTCAAAGGAATGAAGAGCTGGGGGAAGTCAATGAACAGGCTGCTCATGAGTTTTGAGATGCAAACAACAGTACATCCCCAGATAACACGGACCAGTGAAAGGATCCAGCTGGATCTGTTCCTCTTCCTGCTTTGCTACTTTACCACCAGCACTGCAGGCCCAGGACTGAGATCAGGGTGCTGCAGCCCAGCCAAAGACTGTCTCTGCCCCAGATTGCTGGAATGAAGAAATTATCACTGAAATTACAGTCAATGCACTCAACTAAAAAGTCAAGTTTTTCTAGGTTTAGTTTTCATATAAACCATGATATACTTATAGCCCTGGATGGACTGTGGAGTACTTTAAAGAGCTAAAGAAACCTTCACCTTGGTCTTGATGAACACCTCCAGCTTAATGACACTTGAGGAAACTCACTTCCTCACCTGCTGAGCAACCGCTGTGCTAGGGGAAACGGCTCAGTCTTCAGGTTTTGTTTTATTGTCATTGGTAAGCACTCAGAAGCACCTGGGATGATGCCAATAAACTTTGAGCATCGGTAGATGGGTGAATGTCAAACGCGCTGGGATGGGGCACACTCTGTTGGCATAACCATAAATGTTGGGGTTGCATGGGAAAGCACCAGCCAGGGCAATGTAAGTGTGTAATGAGGAGTTACTTTTTAACTGAGATTATGTGGGAGAGCACAACAATTTGGAAAGGACAGCCTAGTAATGCCGTGTCAAAAGAGCATCTTGTCGCAATCATCAAATGGTTTGGGTTGGAAGGGACCTTAAAAATCATCCGTTTTCAACCCCCCTGCCACGGGCAGGGACACCTTCCACTAGACAACGTTGCTCAAAGCCCCGTCCAACCTGACCTTGAACCCTTCTGGGGCGGCAGCCACAGCTTCTCTGGGCACCCTGTGGCAATGAGCTGAGCTTATCTGGCTTTGCAAGGGCATATTTGGTACTACAGTAAACAGTATTCCTCTGCTTATCATCTTTGCTGGTTCATCTTTAGTTGTCATTTTTACGTTACTATAGGCTATCTTCACTAATGTTTGATTTATAGGTGTTTCCAAAGTCTAATACTGCAGATCTAATCTAACTCACAGAAGAGTCGTATTACAACATAATGGGTGATATATGTAGTTTCAGGCACAGTAATCTGGCATAGTGTCTTGAGAATTATTTCAGTTGATTTATTTACTGAGAAAAAAAATGGAAACATCTGACAAACTTTTCATATTCATCAAGATTTATTCCCTCAATCCAATAAACTGCGTTTATTGCTACACTATAAGGACTTGTTTCATTTCTTTGCAAATACACAGAGAGTGCTAACACATAGAGGTATTTTATTTGATGTGTGTATGGAGACAGAAAAATCTTTTCTAACAGAGAATGTTAAAGACCCAGGAAACAAAGTGCCATAATCCAATAAAAATGGCTTTCATTGAGCAGCTGTTTATGGATGCCTAGGCTGGTTCTCATCAGTTTTCCAGGCTGCCCTGAGCTGGATTGGGCCCTTCTTGCCACGGCAGCAAACTGCCGGATCAGCAAACAGCAGCTCATGACCAAGTGCCACCAGGAGTATGGAGAGCCTTGGACGCTAACACTGAGTCTGATAGGGCTGCTGAGCCAGAAATGTCAGATGATATATCAATTACAAGGCAGGCAGCTGCAGGAAAAATTGGTATATCCTTCTCCCCCATGGTCTTTCAGTAACATTTAGAAAGTTTTAGCCATCTACTGCATCAGGTTGCTGCTAATGGTTAGAGATATAACTCTGGTTTTGGGGAAAGCTGTTACATGTTGAAAACTTTTAAGCATACAGAGTTTTACCCAGTCTTCAACTAGACATTGTGCAACAAAACTTCCATTTCTCAGCATTACTCTTCTCTTGGTGTTTTCTGCAACTTCTTTCTATTCAGCATTTGCTCTTTCTTCACCCTAAATGTCGTCTGTCATTTGATATCTCCTTAAAAGACCTTTCTCAAGCTATGTTAAAATGATGCCTTTAAGCTACTTTTCTCAATATTCTCATAATAATTTCAATCTAAAAGACCATTAAAAAAAAGGATATAAAACCCAAAGGCAAAATTGTAACTGAATTTAAGACAGACTATGAAAGTAGTTATTTGTATGTGGGAAATAAAAAGGTTGAAGATGATGAAATGGGTCTCTGTGAATGCAATTAATACTTGCATTGCACTTTTGCCATTATTATTGCAGTTAACATTAGGCAATAAAAATAAGAGCCGTAATTAACAGATGATTGAAAAGTATTTTTTATTTAACATGAAGGAAATTTCTCTCTCGTTGTTACACATAAGAAACCAAGAGACTCACCGGAGGAGGTCTGATTTATGCAGGGAAACCTCTTCTTTACCATGTGCCCACTGAGGCCACTCTTATTTCTTGCCTCGCAGCCAATTTTGACACCTGGAAAGGCACCTCTCCACGATGGCGGCGGTGCGGGTATTCAGGCGGAAAGGTGCTCGCGCGGAGCGGGTGCTGGCACCCTTGGCGGTGCCCTTGGTAGAGCTGGTGTCTGTGGATCCTGCTGTGCATGTCCCTGGGGGTTCTGCGGTGCTCTGGGACACACATGGCTCCGTACAAATTACGCTTTGGGATGTGCAGGGATCCAGGCATGTCACCGAGCACTGATCGGGGCAGGGATCACCAGCGATCGCACCCTGAGCACCGCAGGGCTCCTTCGTGCAGGTTTCGAGAACCTCGAGGGTGCAGGGCTCCACGGTTGAGGCTGGGTGCTGCAAGGGGATGTTTTCCATGCAGGTCCCAACTGTCTCGGGGATGCAAGGTTCCACCGGCGAGATTGCTTGCTGGAAGGGGAAGGTCTCCACGCACGGCCCGGTTGTGTCAGTGGGACAGAGCTCCACTGTTGGGATGGTGTGCTGGAAGGGGAAGGTCTTCACACAGGTTCCAACCGTCTCAAGGGTGCAGGGATCCATTGCTGAGGTTGGATACTGCACAGGGAAGGTTTCCACGCATGTCCCAACGGACTCAGGGGTGCAGGGCTCCACTGGCGAGGCTGTGGGCTCAAGTGGGAAGTTGGTCCCTCCCTTGCTTTGAGGGGGGTCACAGGGGTTCACTGCTGGGCACACGTAGGCGCCCACACACGGAGATGCACAGGAGTCCCAGGCGGGCACGGGGACAGCAGGAGCTGGGCAGGAGGGTCCAACCTGAGGGCAAGTATCCAGGCAGGTGGCTGCACCCTGACGCAGGCAAGGGTCCGCCTGGAAAGTCTGCTCAGGACAGGGATGCGGGTCCTGCACGGGGTCGGCAGCCAGGTCCATCACGGCACAATGCGACGGGGAAGTGTCGGTGTGCGCAGCCTCCCCCGTGCAGGCAGAAGCGGGCAGGACGGGCAGCTTGCACTGGGAAGACATCTTTCCGCGCTGCAGGCAAGCCTGAAGGAAAAAGAGTAGTTTGGTGTCTATTAACCCAAACCATCAGACGTTTCATTTTCTTGGCTGGTGAATTCTTCAGCAAGATGGTTGCTGTTTGTGCCACGATTTGGCCGTGAAATATGGAAGAGAGAAAATTTGCTGTTTTGTTTTGTTTTAAGAAATTCTACAACCACTCCTTACGAAAAGAAGTTTGGTCATTCTGTTTTGCTGCATAAACTTCCAAGCTCAGCTTTTCTTATTCAAAATGTGTTTTCAGCCAAACGATTTCACCCTAGAAGCATTTTCTTGTGCAGATAGCAGTGGACTAGGTTAACATTTTCAGCAGGTTTATAAACTCCGAGTTAATCCCCTCTCTTTTCCAGACATTTTCTCCTTGTCCTGAAACTCCCTTGCTGGAGAATGCCCATCTTGCAGAAGCTGCAAGAAGTGCAGCTGTCTCTGTCCTACCTTTACCATGGCTAAAAGCAGCAACAGGCTAAACAGGTAAAAGAAAGATGTAGTTGTTCAGGTTTACCGAGGCTAGACAATCTTACCTGGGACCTTGGCTTCTGCTGTACGCGATGCTGCAGTCGCTTCACCGCTTAGACTGATAACTACATGCACAGCAGTTTCGGCTCCTGCCTGCTGTGTAGGTGCCCAGTGAGCAAGATGGTGTTTCTGTCCCTCTAAATCCAGTGCTGAGATAACAGGAAGCATTTTGCAGAGCATCCATGGGATTTACAGCAAAGTAAGTGTGAAGGAAGAAGATTATTACTCTTTCAAACCCTTATCACCAAGGAGGTGTGAGAGCCAATAAATTTCCCTTATGCAGATGGTAGCAGTAATCTATTTCAGCATATAGTAGAAAATTAACACCAGACCTGTACAATCCCAAAGATACTTACCCAGCTCAGTATCAGCAAATAAAGACGGCGAGCAGACTCGGCAACTTTAACCTGGGATATGCCATGTATATTCAAGAGCCTGGCCTCTGGAGATGAGGTGCCCCAGGCACACAGATGAGCTACCCTTTGCTATCCTGGACCTGCTCCGCCTCTGCCCTGTGATGGATTATTTGACTAATTATTTTAATGGAAACCTGGCTATTTCCGTGGCTGCAGCATAACCTCAAGTGAGCAAAGATGGCTTTTGAATTCACGTGTCCTTTCAGCGGGGCTGACGCCAGAGAAGAATTTGGGAAATGAATGGACTCTCAGCTTGCTCTCAAATAGTTGGCCAGTCATGGGTCAGTTTTTCTGTGACGGTAAAACATCCTCCAGCCCAACACATCACATGGGCCATTAGAGACAGGATGGGATGTGGGCTCTAGGGGATTCTTTTATTTTTAGCCACATCTGACCTCTTTCTGTCACTGCCACTGTCCTGTTCAGACGTGGTGCTGCTGGTGATAGTCTCCTGATGTGCTTCTGGAAACTCTTACATCATCACTAGTCTCATGATGTTTTGCATTTTCTCCTAAAGGTCTGACTCAAATAACATAACACTGCTCCATCGCCATGATGTCGCCTTTATCCTCATGCAGGTACACCCCTGAAGAGCAGGTGGGAGATAGAAGGAGTGACCACCACCCTTTCCCTTCAGCCCACTGGTTTACCAAAGTCAACTGAATTATACTAAGGGTTAATTCAAATCGCTGTGGTCAGCAGCAAACTAGCAACCCAAGTAGTCACATATCCCACATTTATTTATTTTGATTTAAATAACCAAAAGCCACTACACTGGACACCACCGTCCTCAGCAGCATGGACACGTACACTTGAAGGGAGAATAACATGCAGACACAGGAACACACCTTCTTCTCCAGATGATATATGCCCTCATCTCTGCATGCAAATAATACTGGTTTGGTGCTTGTGTCACCAAGTGACTTAAGGCTGGTTTGGAGTGAGCAGAGAAGGAAGTTTCAGAGTCTTTGATCTCTCACAGACAATGCACTCGTTGGTTCTCCCTTCTCTCTTATAATGAGGGATTTTCAGACAAGAACATCTTTACTTGACCGCAATTGTAGCAGGCAGAAAGCTGCGACCCCGTGCTGCGGCAGTCATGCACATCTTTTGTGAACGGTGTCTTTCAGTCTTGGTTTAGCCTGCTATATGATAGAAATGTGCACAGCAAACTGAAAAGGGCCACTACCACCGACGCTGTGGTCAGAGCACCGAACACAGAGGGTTCATCACCCTGGAGCCTCACTGCATAGAGATGGGCCACTGCAGGAGAAGTCCTTCAAGGAGCCGATGTGACGCTGAAGACCTTAACACAGTGTGAAGCCTTCCCTGGCTGCCTAACTGCCAAAATCATAACAGATTTTGGTTAGGCTGGCATATTGCCCTTGGTTGAAGAGCAGAGATGTTATGAAGCTGCCCAGAAAACTTGGGTGCTCCCATGCACTGGGCTGTGCTCTCCAGCGTACACCAGCAGTTACGGGAGGGAGTGTGCTCCCCTCCGTCTGGCACATACGAGACCACATCTGGACACTGTGTCCCATTTGGAACCCACTGGGCAAGACAGTCTCCAACAAACTGCAATGAGTCCAGTGGAGACCACCAAAATGGTCCAGCGGCCTTGCGGAGATGATGGATGGGGAGAGGCTGAAGGACCTGATCACACTGGAAAGGAAAAGACAAGACTTAGGTGAGATCCTGGGGGCCCTTTCGGCTATCTAAAAGGTGTTAATGGAGAGGCTCTTCTCAGAGGTGCCCAGAGACAGGGTGAGAGGCCATGACTGCAACTTGTAACAAGAGAAATTCTGACCAGATAATTGGAAATAAAATTCTCAGCAGGAGGGATATCGTGTGCTAGGAGGAGCAAGCAAACTTGAACTGTAGAGCAGAACAAAGCTGCTAAGAGAGTCCTACTCCATCTGTAATCCTGGTCTGTATGGCTGTCTCGGGGGAAGGTGCAAGAAAATGTATCAAACTAACTTTTATAAAAACAAAGTTTAATCCCGAGGGGGATTGTTTCCAGGCTGTATCATCAGTTCTTTGTTCCCCATCCCGCATAGAAAATATGTGGATCAAGAATTCAAGCTTGCAGGCAGCAGGCGGTCATAGTGTCGCATGTACCACCTCAATGGCTGGGTTTCATTAAAAATTATAATGTAAGCAAGTAATTTAAGGATTGGAGGTGGAGCAGGTCTGGATTATTAAAAATTTTATTTCCATACCCCTGAGGTGTCTCACTTCCGGAGACACGGACACTGAAATCATATAAAAGGATTCATATTGTAGTGTTTCTCAAACCATTTTGGTTTCATTTGCTAGTTGCTGGTGGTGAATTGGGTAAGTCTCTCTTGGCCTACTGGGAAGTACTGTAGTGACTGGGGTTATTTAATTTTTAAATATTATCTACAGAAACAAGTTAGAAGACTTGTGAGTACTTCTGCTCAGCGAGATTTTTGTGTGGTACTTACCAAGCAGCTGAGTTAAGGATAAATATTCATTCCATCTTCTACCAGGCTTTATTTGCTGTATGTTTTGCAATTGCTGTGTTTTCTCCATCAAGATACATCTCAGAGTAGCTGAGAGTGGACTAACCTCTCCCTTTCCACAGTGAGATTGCTACCATGTTTTAACCAGGAAATTATTGGGTTTGAGAGAGATCAAAAGGCAAGGCTAGGACTTCAAAGGAAAAAAGTGGGAGGGAAGATAAGAAGTGGAGACTTGCAGGCTGCAAGGGTAAGCAATGCCTGGAAGGAAGTCTGGATGAGAAGATCTATCAGGACTCCTGGGGTAGAGGTGGGAAAGCAGCTGCCCTGTAAGCGTCAGATCCTTTCCTTGTGGAAGGTTTCTGTCAGGAAGCTTCCACTCATGTCCTCTAGCTGAGGACCTGCATGTGGACAGGGAACTATCAGAAGCCTACTAGTCTCTTTTTGGGTGGAATTAGAGAAATAATGTCAAAGAATTTATCCAAATTCAAGGGGAGCTGTGGATAGGTGAGGGCTGTCATGACTTCTGACCCTGCAAATATTCTAGCTGACTCCAGATAACACCATTTTTCTTTCCTATTTATGAGAAGAAGTTGTTTGAAATGTGCATGCAGCCAGTAGCTACAAACCTGTCTAAAATGCTTTCACATGGAGTTAGTGCCCTGCTATGGATTTCAGGCTGTTTTCCCAGTATATTTTTCAGTATTCCACTGGAAAAAGTTTAGTTTACCTCAGTGTATAAAATAGCCTTGTGAAATCTGAATGTCTCTGTTTTCCACAAAGTATATTCCTTTCCTGCTTTCAGACATTACCCCTCCCTCAAAGATGCAGTGCCAAAAGTGGTTACCAGCTGAGACAGCTTTGCCTTCCACCTCCCACCATCTTGGTGAAGAGTTTTCCCGTGAAAGACTGTGTGGATCCCTGTGGTGCTGTCTGTAACATCCAGTGCCCGCCTCCACGTGTGGATCCCTGCTGCTACACTGGGATTCGTCGGGGCACCACCACTTACGTGAACCTGGGTAATCTTGGTGTGACACAGGCTGCCAGGTGCTTCGATCCCTGCTGCCTTGGAGCCTACACATGTGTCCCTCCAGTGCTGTGAGGAGGTGACCAAGTGCAGCACCCCACGTGCAGACCCGTGCTGTTGCAAAGTGACCTGAATGCACCAGCAGATGCGAAGATCCGTGCTGTGAGGAAGTGACCAAGTGCAGCACTAAGGGCGTGGATCCGTGCTGCCAAGAAGCGACCAAATGCAGCACCAAGTGTGTGGATCCCTGTTGCCAAGAAGTGACCAAATGCACCACCAAGTGTGTAGATCCGTGTTGCCAAGAAGTGACCAAGTGCAGCACCAAGTGCGTGGATCCTTGTTGCCAAGAAGTGACCAAATGCACCACCAAGCGTGTGGATCCCTGCTGCCAAGAAGTGACCAAGTGCACCACCACATGCGTGGATCCCTGCTGCCAAGAAGTGACCAAGTGCACCACCACATGTGTGGATCCCTGCTGCAAGGAAGTGACCAAGTGCACCAGATGTGTAGAACCGTGCTGTAGCAAGGTGTCCAAGTGCACCACCACGTGTGTAGAACCCTGCTGTAAGGAAGTGACCAAGTGCACCACCACATGTGTGGATCCGTGCTGTGGACCTGTGACTAGATGTGCTACCACATGCGTGGAACCATGCTGCAGCAAAGTGACCAAATGCACCACAACATGCGTTGATCCGTGTTGTGAGGAAGTGACCAGATGCACCACGAAGTGCATAGATCCATGCTGTGGGGGTGTCACCAGATGCACCACTAAATGTGTGGATCCGTGCTGTGACAGAGTGACCAAGTGCACCACAAAATGTGTGGATCCCTGCTGTGAGGAAGTGACCAAATGTACCACGAGATGCACAGATCCATGCTGTGGAGATGTCACCAGATGCATCACTAAGTGTGTGGATCCGTGCTGTGGCAGAGTGACCAAGTGCACCACGAGGTGTGTAGATCCATGCTGTAGTGAGGTGACAAAGTACATCACCACATGTGTTGATCCCTGCTGTGGGGAAGTGACCAGATGCACCACGAGGTGCATAGATCCGTGTTGTGCAGGTGTCACCAGATGCACCACTAAATGTGTGGATCCGTGCTGTGGCAGAATGACCAAGTGCACCACGAGGTGTGTAGATCCATGCTGTAGAGAGGTGACCAAGTGCTCCTCCAGGTGTGTGTTCTGTGGAGGAGTGATAAAGTGTGCTACCAGGTGTGTAGATCCGTGCTGCGGACATGTGACCAGATGCACCACCAAGTGCGTGGAGCCATGCTGTGAGCAAGTGACCAAGTGCACCACCTCGTGTGTGGATCCTTGCTGCCAAGAACTGACCAAGTGCACCACCAAGTGTGTGGATCCGTGCTGCCAAGAAGTGACCAAGTGCAGCACCAAGTGTGTGGATCCATGCTGCCAAGAAGTGACCAAATGCACCACCACGTGTGTGGATCCCTGTTGCCAAGAAGTGACCAAGTGCACCGCCTCGTGTGTGGATCCCTGTTGCCAAGAAGTGACCAAGTGCACCACCACGTGCGTGGATCCCTGTTGCCAACAAGTGACCAAGTGCACCGCCTCGTGTGTGGATCCCTGTTGCCAAGAAGTGACCAAGTGCACCACCACGTGCGTGGATCCCTGTTGCCAAGAAGTGACCAAGTGCACCACCACGTGCGTGGATCCCTGTTGCCAAGAAGTGACCAAGTGCACCACCACGTGCGTGGATCCCTGCTGCCAACAAGTGACCAAATGCACCACCTCGTGTGTGGATCCCTGTTGCCAAGAAGTGACCAAGTGCACCACCAGATGTGTGGATCCCTGCTGCCAAGAAGTGACCAAATGCACCACCACGTGCGTGGATCCCTGCTGTAAGGAAGTGACCAAATGCACCACCACATGTGTGGATCCTTGCTGCCAAGAAGTGACCAAATGCACCACCAGATGTGTGGATCCTTGCTGCCAAGAAGTGACCAAATGCACCACCAGATGTGTGGATCCTTGCTGCCAAGAAGTGACCAAATGCACCACCAGATGTGTGGATCCCTGCTGCCAAGAAGTGACCAAGTGCACCACCACGTGCACGGATCCTTGCTGTGGGGGTGTTCAGGTTGTTACGAGGTGCGTGGATTCCTGTCCCACCACCTGCATTACACAAGCCACCCCGCTGTGCACAGGCGTGTGCCCATGTGGCCAGCGCTACTCCATCAGATGTGCAGATGTCTGCTACCGCAAATGCAAGGCTCCTTGAGGGGGTGCACGTGGCAGGTCCTGTGGTGGGACCCCACTCTGCATTGCCATTGCCCTGTGGACTCTTCTAAGGCTAAGGAATGAAAATGGTTTGCAGATCCCTGAACTTGCCAACGTCTTCCTCACATCTTTGCTTTCCTAGTGCCCTTCCTGTCCTAGGAAGACTAAATCGTCAAATGGTTTCCCATATGTTCTGCATAATTTCTGCTATATTTATCTCGAGAACAATGCCTTTTCTTGTAACATGTAACTAATTGATTTTGTGCCCCCAGGAATATTGCCTGGGAGAGAGATTCTGTAATTCTTCTTTGCACTGATGTAGATGGAGGAATTTCCCTGTTTGTTCTTTCTTGCCATCTTCTCCATTTCTTGTATGAAGCAATAAAAAAAAAAAAAAAGATCTTGGCATCAGCTGTCTGCAAGTGTTTCCTTCACTTTTGTATTCCCCCAGACTCGCTTTCTCCTTTTAATTTCTACCTAAAAAACTGATCTCTGTAGAGTGGCAGCTCCTGCTAGAATGCATGTGAAGGTCTAAGGCAGTAGCAGGAGACCTGGGACTCATCTGGGATACCCCAGATCATTGCTGGGAGAGGATGCTGTACATCGTAAGGAAGGACCGCTCTCCCATGGTTTTGAAAAGACTTTGAAAACCCACTCATTTGTTGAAGTGCTCCTCTGAAGCTGGAGGAGCTCAGGGCCAGCTGTGTCTGCATCTCGCAGGCAGAAATGAAATGTTCCATTATGAGCAATGGGTAAATAAGCCACTAACGAGGGGAAGATGAGCAGGTCTGGGAGACTGTGCCTCATGACTTTGTCACCCGTGTGTGAGAGGTCTTATCTCAGCCTTTTGCGATTGACTTCTATTTCCTTGTCTCTGGTGGCAATTGGGCAAGCCTCATCAGTTAGGGAAATCAACACGGATTCTCTCACCACTGGATTCTGCAGAAATGTTATTAGTATTAACAAGGTGTTTTGGACAGTTTTGGTGACCTTCCATGAATATCTGCTGACAAGATCCCAGTGCTTCCTCCTCAGCAGCAAATTTGTTTGCAAATTGCTCACCTAGGAGTAAGCAACATCCTCAGGGACTCAAAGTCACCCTGCTACACAGGCCATAGTGCTCTGCAGGTTTCCAGAGCAGCGGGTGATGCAGAATGGGATTGGGTTTAGCAACAAGTGCTGAAGGGAGAAGAGATGGGGAGACAGACTGTGGGGGAAGCCAGCCCAGCAGACGCGGGCACAGCTCTGTCTGCCAGCACCCACTGGCTCCTTCTTTAAAGATGCCCCAAGGCACGTGGCGAGTGACTAACCTGCAATTATCACTGTCTCACTTTTTCTAGTAGAGGAATCTGACCAATAGTGCGACATGATAAATCATACCCGATGGACATGGCATTGCACGCGGGTTGAGGAGACCCAACCTCGCACAAATCGTTTCCCTCCCAGCTCTTCTGCTTCCGTCCTCCTCTCCCAACAGGTTGTGGCAGACCCTGGCTCTTGCCACTGGTTGTGCAGCACTCGCCACAGCGGGTGTCTGGACTTCAGCAAATGCTCTAGGCATTACCTAAGCACAAATTCTGCACAATAGAAATACCAAACCAATTGAGGCTTCCTAATCACCTCCTTGTGGAGTTCTGATTTGACCCCAAAAGTCCTTTAAAACTCATTAAAAGGTTCTGTGCAAGCACCAATTTCCTTTGCATCTGTTCCCAAATCAAATGGAACAATCTTCTGGGAAATAAGAAACTGTAGGTGTTAAAAATGACATTTAGATAAGATTTTCTCTTAAACTATTTCTCTGTAACATCCTTCTGATGGCATGATGCTTGCATTATATTTAATCCTTCACATGAACATAGAAACTCAGATTTTAAGAGGCTGAGACCATTAGCGGAGAACAGACACTTCATTTCCAGGTGAACGTCACAAGATTGTGCTGTAGGAAGAGAAACAGAGATCCTTCCTCCCAGAACACCTGGATGTTTATACTATATCTATGGAACTGTTATTGCAGTTAGGGAGAAAATTGCTGTTCAGCATAAGCAAATGTAGTAAGCCCACTGTTCTTGCTCTGTCAGGCAATGTACTCTGATTCCTAAAATGTATTCCTCAGACATCAGCACACAGTTTTATTCAGCAATGTAAAAAATCCTAAGGAGAGCTGGATTCCCATTCTAAAATATCGGGAAAATCAAATTAAATATCTGCAATAGTCAGAAGGCAAAAGATAAACCAGATGAGGTATTTTTTCATAACCACAGCTAGTTCCCCTTTTTCAGGCTTAATTGCATTCAGATGCTCACTTATCATTCTTCACAGAGCACTCACCTTCCTGAGTAAACAGGAAAAGAGGCGGACAGTGCCGTATTTGGGTTCCTCTCAGCCCCAGAAGTAATGATCTAATTACTTGATCAAATAGTCCCTAGGGCACAGACTAGACCGAGCCACTTGTTTTCATGTGAGGCTAATTGCATTCTACACTCAGCCTCCTGGCATCTCAGCTATGCGAGGATTTCCAAAGCTGAGTTGATGGACCAGAAGCCTGGAGACCAGCCCCGCCTGGAAGCTGCCCTCCGTGCTGGATCACACCCTCGCACCTTCCCCCGGTAGTTGTGGTAGGGAATGACAGGAAGGGAAAGTTGGGTGTAATGAAGCCCCAGACTTTAAAATTTAATTACAACAAAGTGAAGGAGAGTGGGCTGGGAAGGCCTTGCTACGGTGAGAATATAGGGAGAATTCTTGATTTCGATGAAAATGCTTTGCTCACCAAAAATGTGGGTAGTGTACTATATGGGATGCTGCGCATAAAAAAAATGAAATCCCTGATGCTGAACAGTGCTGGATGCCACAGAGGAAGGAAGCTTATTTAGGAGGCTTTTAGGTCAGCCAAGGAATGCAAAGAAATCCCGACGTATCGTATTTTTAAAGCAAAGTGTTCAGCAGTTTATGAAATTGTTTTTTTTTTCCTAGCAGAAATCCAGCTGAACAGCCCAAAATGGTGCATATCCAAACAGTTACAGAGGGAAAAATTTCAGTTTGAGAAGTTTCCATCAAAAGTCATGACATCTGCACATCCTGATGTTTTGTATTTATGTGAACAATCACGTCTCCGTGACCATGTGGTGTTTCACGTCTGCAGGTGTGTTATAGCTTGTAGGAAAATGGTTCCAATCTTGATGTGCCTCCATCTTTGGTAGCTCTTGGTGGTGAACTATGAAGTCGCAGATTCTTTGGAGCCAAAATTGTTGACCACGTTCTTTTCTACTGAGTTTTTCAGAAACATTCTCCTGAGTACCAGAATACAGTGCTCAGGAGGCTCCTCTTCTGCAGCACCATGCAAACCTCTGGGTAGGGGAGTCTGTCTCCTCCTGGGCTCCAGGAACCATTTCTGGTTCAGATTTGGGCTCTGTCATGCTCCTTTCATCAGAGTGCTACCCATCGCACCAGACTCTGGTTCTGCAAGAGACCTTAACATGTGCCATTTAATTAAACAGATCCCAGAAGTGTCAGATTTGGAAAACCACTTCTTTTCAGCTCTTTTGCCAAAGAAGGATGGCCACAAAAGGATGTTGCTGTGGGGTCCTGACTCACTGGAGTTAATATGACTAGTCAAATGACCAAATTGCTCATAAATATAATAGAGATCCACAAATAAGTGTCAATTAAGAATAATAATCCAAACCTCTGACCTTCCCACATATTACAAATGCAGATCAATTTATATCTCCTAAAATGTCTGTTTCTCTTAGAAGTCATTACAATTTCTTGCTAATCAAATATAACAATAGGGTGTACAATAACCCACTATAGAAATGGAGACGTAGGACCGGTCCTCAGCATTGGTTTTAGAGGTGAGCCTGGAGCCCTAGGAAAGCATGAAGAACTGTACAGACTGGACTCTGAGAAACTCGTCAGCAAGATAAGTGTTGGAGGTTGCTGCTTTGAGGGGACCTAGAAGTACTGGAGGAAAATTGCTTGCTCAGCATTACCCAGCAGAGTTAGCTCTGGGAGGACAAGATAGGGAGAGATTAGTCTATCAAAATATTAGACACTTAAATCTGATATAATTGTAAAACTGTTCGTTTTACAATCTGCAGGGTCTATTTGGTGCAGACATGGGTGTTTCTCCTCACCCTGAAGCAGATGTCTAAGACAAGCAAACCACACTCTACAAGTCTATTTCTTCCTATCATCTATAAATGCTGCTGGTGCATCGGTATGAATCTTGGGGGGAGAAACTGCACGTGATGCACCGAGTCTGTCCAGCAAAGGAAGAGAAGTGGAAAGACTGAACAAACCATGAAGTGCTGCTGGGAAGGTGTCAAGAGCAGTGCAAATCCAACAGCTCACATGGGCTTAGGACAGGAATTCCAGTTTCCCCACATAAACACTAGAAAGGAACCAGTGCCGATGCCTGCAATTCTTCAGTGGGACTCCTGGTTTTCAGTGTAAACAGGATGCACTGCTCATGCTGCACAGGTTGGTTGGGGATTTTTGCCCATTTAGCATTTGTGCAAGTGATCTCATTGGGGAATTTGGTTACCTAAATGTAGTCTGATGATCACATGCCACCATCGTGATTGAAATATCTCAGAGAAACAAAGATTTTCTCTTCTGCAGAGCTGAGTGGGATATCACAATCAGCAAAAGTCTTCAATATGCTAATATGGCGTCCTGGGCCTAAATCCCACTTAAACTAAAACCCTTTACGGTGCTCTGGCAGTGAAAAATACCTTTAAAATGAATGTCCCTTTACTTTTCCCTGAATGGCTTGAAAAGGTCCTCAAGGTAAATAGAGTTGTGTCCCCGTTGGCATTGTCAAGCTTGAATGTTGTTAATAGATGGTGGAGAGGAACGAGTTGGGTGTATTTAATGGTTAAAAAGGTATTAGAGGAACAACTACCTCAACAGTTTGTTGAAGTGCTGATAGTCCACTGTAGGATTAGCTGTTTCTTACCATGAGAATCAGGACATGGTATTTCTCATAGTAAAACAGATCAGTTGTCTAACTTCCCTAATAATAGCTATCCGTTCTTACTGCATTGAAAAAAACCTAAGGTATCATTCAGACATTTATGGAAATGAGGAGCTGAAAATATCAAAGCATATTAAATCTTTTTTGAAAAGCAATTAATCCAGTACATGATTTTTTTCAATTACTGTGTCATTCTTGTGGGAACCATATGACTTGGGTATTAGGTGGAAACAGAATTTGCTCAGGATCACATGTCTTTCCTGGAAGAGGTTTTCCATCAAAAATTAGGATGTAAACAAATATGTAAAGTATGTATAGGTGGAGCCTGCTCAGGTAGTTAGTGGTCAGGTGTCCATACCCCTGGGCTCCCTTGTTTCCGGAGATGACGCCATGCAAGCCATATAAAAAGGTTTGCATTTTGATGCTCACACCAGTTCATTTGCCTTCTCCCTCACTCACCTGCATTGGTGAACTGGTAAGTTTTTCTTGGATATATTAGGGAACGATGCAATGGCTGTGCTACCTGGTTGTTCTGGTCAAGAGAATATATTACGGCTCACAGGAGAGCTTTGCTTCTGGTGTTTCTGTTCCAGGATTTGTCCTGGAATGGGGGAGAGGATGTTCAACTTATTTAGAGTTTACTCTTCCTTAAGTAGCTTGCAAATGTCTTGTCACCTCTTCAGAAACTGTGACTGTCTCTTATTGTCCTTTGTATTCTATCTTCATTAATTTTTTCATACCTCATTAAGTCTGGAAATTAAATAAATTAGTAGATGCTGCAGAGTAAGTCTTGGGACTTCAAAAGAGATGGGTGGGAAGATGCATTCTCTGGAAGAGGGAAGCTGCAGGATATCTGAGGGCAAACCTGCAGGGGACATCTGGGAGAAGTCAAGATGAATTGGAAACAGGAGCTGCAACCTCTGGGCCAACCCTTCTCTTATGAAAGGATGAGCACATTAATTTTGATACAGCTGCGATGATGTACCATGATACACAGCTGGAGGATTTGGGATAGCGTCTGAATTTGTGGTCTTTGGACTTTGTCCTCAGGCATTAGGAGTTCAGTGCCTACACACAGGGGAACATGAGGTCTGTGTGAGGAACTGAAGAAATGATAAGCAAAAGGTTGGCCCTGGAACGTGTGCTGAAAATAAGGAAATGAACTATTTTCATGTTGTGGCTTCTACAAAGTTTAACTGTGGGCATCTCTATAAAATTCAGGGCTTATGGCTCTAGTCTTCTTAACAGTGATGCTTGCAGGTTCCCAAGGAACAAAATAATAATCAGGCAGTTTTAATTGCATATGTCTGAATCCAGAAATCATTCACACATGCAATTTTTTCTAACAGTCCTTTTCTCAGTCCAACAGCTATCTGAAATTTATGTTTCAACAGCTCAAGTTACAAATTGCGACTCAAGAAGAAAGGATGAGCGTCCTGATTTTGTATCTCTCTTTTTATCTTTGTCTTTAGCTTTACCAGCATCTCAGAAAGATGTCTTACTACGAGCAGCGCAAACAGCCCTGCCTGCCCCCTCCCATTTGTGTGCAGAAATGCAACCAGTGCGTGGAGCCCTGCAAGACGGTGTGCGTGGAGCCCTGTAGCAACATTTGCGTGAAGCCGTGCCCCACACCGTGCGTGGAGGTCTGCCCAACACCTTGTGCCACCCAGTGCACCACATCCTGCACCACGCAGTGCGTGGAGCCTTGTGCCACCCAGTGCACCACATCCTGCACCACCCAGTGCGTGGAGCCTTGTGCCACCCAGTGCACCACATCCTGCAGCACCCAGTGCGTGGAGCCCTGCAGCACCCAGTGCGTGGAGCCCTGCCCCACTAAGTGCATCGATGTCTGCGTACAGCCATGTGCCACTCAGTGCTCAACCCAGTGCGTGGAGCCCTGCCCAGCCCCCTGCGTGGAGGTGTGTGCCACCAAGTGCATTGATTCGTGCGAGACGGTGTGCTTGGAGCCGTGCAGCACCACCTGCTCCCGCCCGTGCTGATCGCCTTAACGCATGAGCCCTGCATGCAGCCCTGCGTTGCGATATCCACAGGCTCTCGCGCATCTGCGGAATGAAAAACAGGTTACAGACCCATCTGCGACGTACTGAGACCTCTCCCGAGCTGGGCACTCCATGCTCTCTTTGTCTTGGAAAATATTTCTCTGAATGTTTCCAGCCTGTATCTTTGCTTCCTATGATACTTCTGCTACTGCTATTTCAGCACCTTTTTCCTGGTAACTGCCGTTGGCCAATATTATACTGCTGGGCATCTTGGGAAGTTATTTAGCAATGGTTGTGCTGTGAGCAGTTGATGTTGGAAGATGTCTGCCTTCTATTCTTTAATTCTCATCTTGTCTTTTAATGTCTATGTGCAGCAATAAAAACTGACCATTGTTGGCATAGTGTGTCTTCTGTCTTTCTTTCCTCTCCCCATTTCCATGTCTTTGGACACAAGGATATCCTCCCCTAGTTTGAATTTTAAAAAAGCTGTTATGATTGTGCTAGACTTCCGCCTGCAATGTATTGCTGTAAACAGAGAGATTATGCAGTATAATGTGCAGCAATGTCTTCTAAGACAATAAGCAAAACATCATCTGGTTAATATTTTTCTGACAGATCAGACAAAAAAAAAGATTTTTATTGTACTAGAAAATAATTATAGAAATATAATTTTCAACTTTATTAATGACAGAATTTTGAAGGCAAATCTTAGAAACTATTAAATGGTAAATTTAAGTGGAAGAAAGCCCCAAATCCAAGAGAGAATTACTTGAAATGTTCTTGCTGGGATTTTAATTATTTCTTAAAAGCATTCTGATGGAGATGAAAATGGTATTTTTGATTCATTCTTCCCACGATCCTCATGGACTAAATATAGAAAGTAGGGGATTTGGCTTGAGGAGATGAATCTTTTTGTGGTTCAGGAACAGGTCTGAGCCCTGCAAGATTGCAGTTTTCTTCCCAGGTTTGCTGCAGATATTTTGTGTGGCTTTGGGCAGGTCTCACTCTTGTTATCTACCCGTTCCCCATCTGCAATGAGAAGACACATCCCTGACTGATAGGATAGTTCGCATTTCGGGTTCATTAATGTCTAGCAGGTACAAGAATATTTTGATTCAATTATAAACGCATATTCTTTATTTGAAGTCATAATTTTGACACTGAAGGAGGGCCATTGTCTGGAGGGACGTTATACCCACTTAAATGCTGAGTTTCAGAGATAATACTCCCATTGTCTCCCATACCGTGCATGTGACTGACTTACCTCTGTCTCCGTGATGGCCACCCAATTTCCATGTCTGGGATGTAGAGAATTGCTATCCACATACCGTATCATTATGGCAAGGGTGGAGAATATCTAATCTAGAAAAGAAAAGAGTTATATTTAGGTGTGCGTAAACACTATTACCAAATCAGCTTTTAATGAAACCTTGTGAGCAGGTGTAGAGAGTTTAACAGCAGATTCCTTTTTGTGTTATTTCTGTCAACACCAAAAGGTGACACCATCAAACAGGAATAATGATAGGCAAAACACGTCTCAGGAAGGCAAACAAATTCTACACCTAAACACACCTTTCAGTTCAGATAGACAAAGCAGGGGTAGGTGGACCAGATATTCAACAGCACAAAAATGGAGGGGGAAGATTAGGAACGTGCACCTCTAATTCCTACTGTTGATCGTAAATCTTCAGGGATTCAGCAACGAACTCTGCCTTGTTAACAACAACTTGCTGCTGCCACATGTGTAACATCAGCACCCACTTTTAGGCATGGGAAAAGTCTTAGTCAGGAAGTCATATGCAGCTACTAATGAGATCCATCCCATAGGTTAGTCACCTGTGACTGATTTCCAAACCTCTTCATCCAGCTCTATCAGCTGTGTTAGTCATTTAAAATTTTTTCTTCTCTCCCTCTCTGCTGCAAGCGTTGCACCAGACACAGTAATCATAGATGGGAGCATGTAGCTCTGAAAACCCCAGAGGAAGTGGCAAAGAGACCTGTTGGTTTGTGCTCATCACGCTTCCTGCACCTGTAGGAAAAAGCCCTGACGCACTGCTCTCCTATGCACCTGTGGTTAGTTCTGAGCATTGCTAGGATTCCCCTGTACATTTACAACAAATTAGTGACATCTGGTCCATGTCAACCTCAGGGTCATTAAGACCCCTTGTAAATCAGGAATGAGTGAGGGATCTTAAGATATGGGAAGATGATGTTTCCTTTAGCGCATTCATCTCTCCATGTATCACATGTCTAATGGAGACTGGGCTGTAATTCATCGGGCTGAATATGACCCCACAGGGCATAGCATTGGGGAACACTCAAGGGAGGCTTGAACTACCTTTTCTATTAAAGACAACGTTTCAGATGAATCATTTTCTCTGTTCCTTCCTTGGAAAAAATTCAAGGGGATCAACATTTTTCTGAAACACAGATCCATCCCCCCCCCCCCCCCCAAGAAATTCTGCCACAATTTCAGCAAGCCAAACCCAGTGTTTATAAAGAAGAAGTTTTAGTTGCTTCAGTAAAAATCTACTTGTAAAGCGCAAGACAAAATAAGGGGAAAGCTTTCTAATTTCATGGCAATATAAAATGTTTCATTCCCCTTTTGGGGAAGGAAAAGAGAGAAGGACAGAAGCAAACCCCAAAACCACAGACTGCCAAACACAGACCTGCTGCCCTTCCCAGGAGCTGGGGTGTAGCACACAGACCTCCCCCACCCCACTCAGATTTATGCCAGCTGGAGATCTGTCCTGGTGATCCCAGACAAAACTCTCAGGAAACACCTAAACTTTATGCAAACATTTTCTGCTAAACCCAGAGGGGATCTGAGCCATCTCTCCAATCTGAGTTTGGTTGTGGGATCTTTGCCCAGGGTCGGGACAAGATGAATTATTAATAAATTAGCCAGTTATTACCAGATTGGGTGTGCCTTGCATGAAAAACAACAAATCCCCCGCACCTGAAAGAGGACGCATCTCTCACAGACCTTGACTGAAGTCCAGGTGTACGGAGGTGTCAGTGGAGCAGGTTCTGGTTGTGAAAGATTCTGGTCATCAAGTTAATCTGTTGTCATCAGTTCCCGGGGCTGACTTCTGAAAGCGTATAAAAGCCTTCCATTGGGAGGCTCATTAATCTGAGTGGCTTCTTCTTCCTTTTCTCCAACAGCAGGAGACACCAGGTGAGTCCTTCCATGCACATTTAGCTATATAGGTGGGGGGTTCTGCTGCCCTCTTCTTGGGAGACAAGGTGATTTTTCTTTATTTTGTTTCTCTAGTAACATTTTCAGCTCCTCTCCCTGACAATTTAATCCCCATACAAGTGAAAGCTATGTTATGTTGTTTTGAGACTTTTTGAGGCTTCAGATAGTGGCTTCCTGACTCTTTGGGCCATCAAACCCTTGTCAACCCTCACAATTTTTTCTCAACTGATAAGGAACCTTGTGGATAACCATCAGGTATTGAGTATCAACTACCAAAGGATGGCATCTACCAGCAGCTTGGTTTGCATCTGTTGAACAGCCATGGGCTGATCACTGCAATCTCCTGGATCTCCAGGGCTCTGAGTTTCACTTCTTTGCATAAAATCATATCATCGCTGAGCAGGAGGATAGTTCACCTACATCTAGCTGCCGGAGACCTGGCTCCTGCTCTGAGGCTCTCAATGAACTAAGCAGAGACGTGGCTGTTGCCCGAAGGGATTTTTATCAAATGATTTTTCTCTTTCAAATCCATTTGCAATACTCAAATGTCCTTAGCTTTCTGCTCCTCTTTGACTAGTTTTAAATATTGCTCTGAGGTTCTCCTTGAATTAACCACACTTTCATTAAAACTTACATTGCTTTTTAGCTTGTCAAAGTTGAAGCGTTAAGAAAATAGCAAACAGATGGAAAGAAGGAAAACCCCTCTCAGGGTTTCTTGTCCCATTCCTCTGCCGCCATTTAGCTGTTTGGATCACAACTTTGTTAGGATAGTGCCTGCCTCTTACATTCATGTATGATTATATACAGTTACACCCTGAGGCCTCAGCAGTGGCTGATCTCCATAGAGGCTAACTGTGATGGGAGCCCAGAAGAGCAGTATGGGGGCAGCTACAGCAAGCTGGAGTCACCAACACAAATTTGATCTGAACAGCAGGATCCTTAGGGATTTCCAAGGGTGTTTTATTTTGTGCTTTTGCTAGTGGGATTAACTTTTAAAGGCTCTTCGCTGTTGGTTTGTCAAAGCTGAAGAACTGACTGAGACTGTAGTATCCAGAAAGGAGAAGTGTGTGGGGCTTAAAATAACTGAAATGGCACCTTGGTTTTCTTTCAGGCTTAGCAAAGATGTCTTCCCACCAGCAGAAACAGCAGCAGCAAATACCTTCAAAATGCCAGGAAAAGTGTCCTCCAAAGTCTGTGGAGCAATGCCAGTCCCAAAAAGGACAAACCAAGTGTCCAGTGAAGAGCATCCCGCAGCAGCAGCAGCAGCAGCAATGTCCAAAGCAGAAGTAGCACTAACAGCAGCTGCCACAAAGTGCCATGGAAGATGCACACGCTTATTTCCAAGCTCTCCTTCTGTTTTCTGGCTCTGCCGGAATAGCTAGAAATTCACAGCGTGCCTCCTTTGTTTGCAAGCAGAAACTACTTTACAAAGAGATGCAATTCATTAACTTGGATTTATTCCTTCTCTGCTATAAAAAAAATAAAAAATTGCGGTGCCATTTTCTTCTGATCTTTAATTTGGGGCATGCTACAATAAAATTATAAGTAACCTCATTACTTGCTTCCTGATTTTTTTTTTTTTCACTTTACTAGTGCCATTCGTTCTCTTTTGCTTTCTTTTATTAGACAAAGAATTACCTTTAAACCTTCACTTATATAAGGCACACATACACAGGGACCTTGCATATTTGCCTTCCAGGTTTCCCAAGGAATTATTTGTCCATCTTTTTATTTTCAGATAGCTGTAGGTTTCTCGAGCTATTAATATGATGACCAAATAAACCAGAAATACGAAATGTCTAGAGCAAACAGAACACAAAATTATCATAATATCTAGAAAGGCTTGGGGTCCTGTGGGGCAGAGCTGCTGCCTGGGTGTCAAAGGTGACTCAGGCTCAATGTGCTTCCCATCTTGGGACAAACTTGCAAATTGTTTTAATCCTGAACTGCAGCACACTGGACAAAATCAGTTTTCTGCAAGATATAATATTCTGAAGTGTATTCTTATGGCTCTATCAGAACAATTAATTGTGGGTTTAGAGTCTTAACTATACTGTAACTGCTGAGAGGAAAATAGTCTTTGGAAGTTTTAAATGCTGCTTGCTCAGAATGAATAGTTTCAATTTTAAAAGAATCAGAAAGAGGACTCAGAATGTTTTGGTTTCTCAGCAGGACCTACTGTCTTGGCGAATTTATTTCCAGTCAGCTGTACAGCAGAGGAGGAAAATTATAAATACAGAAACTGTTGAGTGATACAATACTGGTGTTTGGCAGACAGACATAAGCTTGCTCTGCAAACCAGAAGCTGTGTGTCTCAGTGTGATTCTGTGATCAGATGATGAGGTTGGATGTATCTAACACCCATCTAACAGGTACAGGGCCAAACTAGTGTGATTACATCGCTCTTGGCTCATCTGAAGTGTGGGAAAAACTTGTTTGCTTGTGCTTGCACCCTGCCTCGTAGACGTGCCCACGCCATATGTCTGCTGGAGGTCACAGAGTGGCTGTGAAGGTGTTTAAGTTGGGCAGATTGACCGTGGGGACATCTCAGTGTGAGCTGATGCCATGTGCCACGCTCTGGGACTGCGTGTCTTGCTGAGAGGTGTTTCAGTGCAATTAAAGTTTCAGGGCTATTGGCCAACCCTGACTGACTCTGTGAAGGGACTCTTGCAGGTTCTCTAACCTGAGCACCTGGAGAAGAACAGCAGACCCAGGGTCCCCTGTGAGCACCCGAGTTTCTGAGTCCTGATTCACCCAGCTTTGAGCCTAAAAATTGACTGGCTGTTTCAGGCTGAGGCTCCTTTTCAACTTTGTAAGCAGAAGCTATTAAAAATCTCCACAACTTGGTATTCAAAGTCATTTTTATTGTTGATTTTCACAGTGAAATAAATCCTGGATACAATATCAGCCTAAAATAATTAGAGATAAGTACCAAATACATACGCAACAACACTGTGTGGTGAAACATATTCCAGGGTGTAATTGAGACAGCGCTGTGTATGCTTCTTCCTTTATCCTGTCTAACAGATGGAAGCCACGCCTGAGGTTAATCTATTTCAAAACATGTCTGGATTGGATTTCATTATCTATATATTCTCCATAAATAATCTCAGCGTGAGCTGTTCTTTTACACATCCTAGAAAATCCAAGGTGAGCTCTCTGAGGAAAGTGCTGATTGCTACCGATTCAGCTAAGCAGATAATTAAGAGGGGATGGCTCTTTTGTAAAAAATCTTTCTCTTTCCTCTAGCTCAATGGATTTTTTTAATTGCATAAAATATTCGGCACTATGGATTCATGATTCGGAAAGTCTTGTTGCCATTGACCAGAACCCCTTAGCAGCAGGCTCTGCACAAACCTCAAACGCTATTGTTAATAGGCAAAACTCCTAAATGCAAGGTGGGAGATGGCATTCGCATACAGGGAGCTGGGGAGGAAGGCATGAAAACCAGGAGGCAGCATGCGGGTCTGGACAATGAGCTCTAGGTCCCTAACTGCATTTGGGTTAAGTTTGAATATTTAGCTTAATGAACCCTGACTCGTGCGTGCCATCATACTCTTTGGTCTCTCTCTGGGCCTTTAAAAGCCAGCGAGATGGTTGGGAGAGGGCAGAAATTCAGGCTGCTGGGAAGCTGAACGCACATGCCTACAACACCGCTTGAAGCCTTATTATCTATTGACGGTCCTGACGTGTCAGTTATTGTATGGCTGTTAGTATAGGATAACGCTAGCGTTAGCTGGGGGGGAGTTGGAAGCTGTGCTTCTTAACAGAAAATCTGCAACGAACAAAAGGGTGTTGGAAAATGACCGCTGGTTGTGAGACACGGGGAGAGGAGGTCTGGGTTTGTGATCTTCTTCTCTCTTCAGGGCTTCCCTTGCCAGCTGCAAGTTACTTCTGCATGGGTGGCCACTGGTTGGGCTGCTTCACCTGCTGCTGCTCGATGGGAGGACAATTCTCTGGAAGAGAGCACTTCTCTGGCTCAGGGCAGGGAGCAGGGATTGGCGCAGGGGTCTCCTTGCACTCCTGCTTCTCTGGAGGGCACGGGGTGGGCACAGGGATCTCCTTGCACTCTTGCTTTTCCTGGGGACATTGCGCAGGTTCAGGGCATGGAACAGGGATTGGTGCAGGGATCTCCTTGCACTGCTGCTCCTCCTGAGGACACGATGCAGGTTCAGGGCATGGAACAGGGATTGGCACGGGGATCTCCTTGCACTGCTGCTTTTCTTGGGCACATGGTGTGGGCTCAGGGCACGGAACAGGGATTGGCACAGGGGTCTCCTTGCACTCCTGCTTCTCTGGAGGGCACGGGGTGGGCACAGGGATCTCCTTGCACTCCTGCTTCTCCTGAGGACATTGTGCAGGTTCAGGGCATGGAACAGGGATTGGTGCAGGGATCTCCTTGCACTGCTGCTTCTCCTGGGGACATTGTTCAGGTTCAGGGCAGGGAACAGGGATTGGCACAGGGATCTCCTTGCACTCCTGTTTCTCCAGCACACACGGAGTTGGCTCAGAGCAGGAAACAGGTTCTGGCACAGGCACCTCTTTGCACTCTGATTTCTCTTCAGGGCATGGAACAGGCTCAGGGCATGACACAGGTGGGATAGTTGGTGGTAGCTTGCATTGCTGTTGCTGCTGCTGCTCCTGGGGTGGACACGTGGGTATTACGACCACTGGTGTTTCTTCCTGGGTTGGTTCCACCACCGGTGTTGGCAATGGCACTGTTTTTTCTGGGCATGGTACCACTACTACAGGGACTGGTTCTGGGCAAGGTGTTGGGACTTGGACTTCAGGTTGCTGCTGTGGACATGGGACTGGCTCAGTGCATGGCACAGGCTCTTGGCTTTGCTTTGAAATTGTTTTGCCCAAGCCAGGTGGGAGGTTGAATTCCTGCTTGATTTGCATTTGATTCAAAGACATCTTTGCAGGAAACAAAATTATCTGAAAGAAATGTCAGAGTGTTATTGTGTCTGCTAAATGAATAGCATTGGGATAAGGGTGAAACGATTATAAGAAACATGAATCAGCCGCAAGAGTAAAGTTCTCTTAGTTTGCCGTTGGTTTCCCAAGGCAGGTTGGCAGAAAAAGAATTATGATTTGCTCTTTCTTTCTCATCCTGCCTTTCAGCTCCTGCTCTGACTCTGTCTTATCTTGTTCCTCTTTTCTGTTCTGCAATGTGGGACAGCCCTGTCAGGTCTAACTGAGGTAGCACCACTCCTTTGAATGTGGAGCTGATTTACACTTCAGAGCTCTTGCTCCTGTTGCTTAGCTCTTCCTAGTGTGTTAACTTCCTTTCATTTCTGTCCTGGGGAATTGATGAGAAGAGCGGGAAAATAACAGATCTACTGGTTTGATAACGGTTTCAGAAAGTCAAAATAATAATAATAATAATAATAATAATAATAATAATAATAATAATAATAATAATAATAATAATAATAATAATAGAATGCTGAAGACAATTAAAAACTTTTGGTGTATCAAAAATTAGAAAGACACAAATCTGGGCCCAACAGGATATTTTACATTGACAAAACTGAAATACTTAATTTGATTTTGCCCATTTTAAAATGGTTTCCAGATATTTCTTGGAATTAGAAACCTGAGGTGCCAAGGCCTCAAGATTGACCTCATCAGTAAGCTGATATCTTTCTGTAGTATTAAGAGCCTTTATAGTAACAGTAATAGGCCAACTCCTCCTCTTGCTCTGGTTTCCCTCTGACTTCACTGGTGATGTAATGGATTGAGGTTACCTGTGGCACAGTTCTTCCAACTGTCATTGAAAGAATTAGCAGTGGTAACGCGTCCATATGTTTCTGGATTATCATGGCCACTAATAATACACATAGGTTGCATGAATCAGAATAATCAGGAGGGATTTATTTTCCCAAGGCCAGTAATGTGCAACAGGCCAAATGGGTTTTCCTAACAATTTATGAAACTGCCTCTGTTTTGTGGGCTGCTGAAGGCTGGACTGATGCTGTGTCTTTGGTAAAGCCTGTGTTGTTGTTTTTCTAAACACAATCTAAGGGCACAAATAGAAGGTTAGAATCACAGAAGTGTTGGTTGGAAGAGGCATTTTTAAGTCCCTCAATGCAGGACTAGCACCAACACAGATCATGTGAGAGTGTGCAAATTGTTCTCCCTTCCTCATGTTGCCTACTCCTCTCAGCACATCTTCAAAGCAAATTCATTCCTCTCTTCTACATCCTCCTAGATCCTCCAGATCAATATCACTTGTCTCTTGCTATTTTTTTTTATAAGGACCTGAAAGATCTTAGACCAAGATATATTGCTCTTGACATGGTTAGCATGACTGAGGCAGCACACTAGGAATACCTTCACCGTTCTATTCCCTACAGCCCTTCATACTCCCAAATTTATCTTTTACAAAATAATTATTCAATGAAAGTGAAGTTTAAAAAATATTCTTGTTATAAATAGCAGAATCACAGAAAATAGATTTGGAAGGAGCTTTAGGAGGTAATTTACACCTTCTCTTTCCCTGAAGGCAGGATCAGTTATACTTAAACCAAAGTAATTTTATCTAATCTCTTCTTCAGAAACAGTCTAATTTAGCACTTAACTATCCTCAGGTTTACACGCAATCTGAATTTGCCTTGCAGAGTCATTCCAAGACTGCTTGTCCTATTCCAATACCCACCATTTCTCTTCTTTGCAGGAATCTTTTACATATTCAAAGGTATTGAAAAAAAATACTTCTTTAAAGAGTCTGCCTACATTAAACCAAGAAGTAAAATTATAGATAGCACAAAAAAGTATCAGTATTCTCTGACTTACCCAACCAGTCAACAGGGAGAAGCACGAAGTCGAGTGGATGGTGAAGCACGGAGATTTGAGAACTTTTATATGGTTTCAAAGCCCTGCCTTCTGGGAATGAGTCCTCCTAGGTAATGAGCTCATTCTTTCACAACTGCCGTTGTGCATGCATTTCCTCCACAGACTTGTTTTACACGTAGGCATTGTGAAGAGAGGCTTTTAGTGCAGAATGAGTTTTATTCCCCTTTTTGACTAATCTGATTTAATAAAAAAAACTTTCTGTGTGAATCAAGGTCATACCGTCAGGTTAATACATTCATTGCAGACCCCATGGAGATCAGGGGTCTTGGTGTGGTGTCAACCAGTGTGGCTCCACTTCAACCCATACATGAGTCATTTCATGCCAGCTAATGCCCCTGCTTCTTAAGATGCATTTGTAGTTTAAGACAGGGGAGCTAATCTGTACTTCTCTCACCTGCTTTTCATCAATGAGATCTCTAAAGTGACTTTCTTGTGCTTTTATAAACTTGTGATGGATGGGTTTATTCTTACCCCCTGAAGATCTTAATAGATTTAATTCTTCTTTCATTTCGGAGCAGATAATTTTGAATGCATGTTACTTTCCACAGTACAGAAGACATAAATCCCACCCATCTAAATGTGACAGAAGAGGAAACTGAGTTTATCTCCATGTATCATGTAAAAAGTAAGGGGATTTTTTAGTAGTATATAAGATTCAACACATCCAAATGGAATTTGGACACTTGTCTCATTTAAGTGCTGGAATGGCATTTGAAAAGATGTTTCAATCTCCATGTGAAATAAAGGGAGTTTGTAGCATATACAGTTTATTCCCTAAGCATTATTCCATGTAAAAAAAAAAAAAAAAAAAAAAGAGTGAAAATAGCTCACTGATTATTATCCTCAAAATCTCAGGGAGCTACCAGAATACCAGTCAAACAGTCCTCATTTCTGATAGTAGGATTATTTTCAGCAGCAGAGACGAGGCATCCCACACAGAGGTGAATTTCATCATATTTGGTTGTCTTGGGACTATCTTTGTCCTGTCTCCACCATTTTACCAGAGCTCTTATCAGAGCACGCACTACCGATGCAATCATTGCAACAGGCTGAGCTGGTACCCGTCACCAGCTGGGATTCCTGGGCTGCAAATGCAAGAAGCTGTTTCTAGCTGTGGTGTAACTTCCTCTGTTAATAATTGTTTGGCAACTGAAGGACAGAACACCTGAATTTTAGACCATGTCTTCTCCTATAGCGTGACTTCATCTGGGCAACTTCCTTTCTTACCTCATGGCAGGTGGGGCTCTGCCTTTGCTGCTTGCCTGCCTGGCTCTGGAAGCTGCTTAGTTTTAGTCGCCAGCCTTTGCTAGAGAGGGGAATATCCCAGCCCAGGACCTAACCCTGACTCAGGCCTCACCTGCTGCTCTGTGGGTACAAATTGCAGTTGTAGCTCTGCTGAAGGCAGGAACTAGGACACTTTCCAACAGTGGAGAACCTGCCTGTCTGCTTTCTAGGTAGCATCATGCTTCGCGGTTATCAAAATAGCCCTTCTGCTGAGATATGATTCTGGAATAGAGCCCTTCAAAGCAGGAAGATAGAGGGAATAAGCTCAGACTCATTAAAAAAGTGATTTTTATCATTGCACTTGTTGGCCTGAAGAGCAGTTGGGTTCGAAAGGAGACGGTACATTTCATTAGATCAAACACTACATTTGAATGTTTGTGCAATATTCACAAGTGAATATGCATCTTCAGGTTACAGCTTCAGTAACCTTTATTATGTCCATCAATTAGAGCACCCGAGGGAAACAGGGCACGTAGCACTTGTAGAGCAGTGTTAAGGCAAGGACTGTTACAGGCCGTACAGCCATGGCTCTGTGTTGAGACACTGATTTTATTTAAGCAAACAGTGATGTCTCTGGAATATTTAGGTGTCAAATTTCTAGCCTCAACTTGCAACACCGAGTGATTAAAGAAAATCACTTTCCATAGCTGGAAGGGAGACGACCTGAACCCTGTCTGGAGATCAGAAGGTGGGGCTGTCCTGACCTTAAACACTGGTTTGGATCCAGGTCTGGAGAGGCTCGGGGAGGTCACTTCACCTCCATGTCAGCAACCTCAGCAGAAAAATGATGGTAATTATCATCGAAGAGTCTCTGAAGTCAGCCTGTGGAAAGGGAGTGAATGTTTTTCCCATAGTAGAGGTGTAATTGCTTTCCCCTTCCATGTGAGTTACACAAAGACTATTTTTAGAGGCAAATACCATATGCAGTGAAACCTGCCTTACTAAAACATTTGGGAAACTACGGGGGAAACGTGCATTGAGCAAGGTGGCTTTACAGTGAACGTGGAGCTCCTCAGCTCTCACCTGGTGGAGCCCAGCTCATCTCCCAGTTGATACTGAAGTTGTACCACTAATTTCAGGGAACATAACACCACAAGTGAGAAAACATACCAGCCTGAACCCATCTTTCCTAGATAGAAATTGCTACTCCAGCTCCCACACAGCTTGGGTAGGTGCTGTGTTGCTATCAGCCTGTCAGTGGCCGTGCAAATGCTGACCAGGTGATTAAGTCCCCAAAAGTCTAAGATACCCTGGGAGATATGTAGCAGTTATGCTAGCAGCTCTGAATGGAGGCCTGTAGCTGTCAACTTTATCTGGTTTATCACTGAGATGAATGTCTCAATATCTCTAAGGGTCCCGAAGCTATATTGCTCCAGTCTAAAAAAAAAAGAATCAGCTTTTTCAGAAGTGGAGACCACTGCAGAGAACTTCAGCTCAGGATGTGAAATGCTTGCTGTGATCCTCACCTCATGCCTGCATGGATGCTCCTTGATTTTTCTCTGTCCAGTACTATGAACCTTTGTGCACAGAGAAAACGATCTGAGGAAACCATTGCACTCCTGGATTTCATGGTGTGATTCAGAAGTTGCTGAACTGGATCTCTCAAGACAGGGCTCGCCCTGCTGGCTTAATTAAACACTGTTTCGTTAACACCCCATCTTGTTCTTTATTATTGTGTCTGTCATCATTTTAGGGTGGACATCTTGATTAACTCATCTCACGAGACAAAAGACATAATTACCTGTTACTGAATTTCCTAGTATCGGTCTGTCTGCCTATGAGTCCAGTCACTAAAGCATCTTCTCTCCTAGTGCTGGAGACTGTCAAGTCATGTTACAGAAGATGAGGGGCTGGTCACCCACAGGCATGGCCAAATGCTGTAGTATCCAAGTACTGGATATGAAGTATCCACTCTTCAATATTTTCTTTTTTTCCTGCTTGTTATTTCATGAGTGATTCCTCTTCGGTTCTGCTACAATACAACACCTGAGCTTCCCAGGAACCAGAGGGCTTCCTATTAAACCTGTATCAATGGATTAGTTTAATAACTCTCAAGAGACGCACATGGCTGAATCACTGAGTTAAGTCTGTGACTCTGCATTCATAGTTATAAAACCTCCTCCATAAATTCACCAACCTCCATCTTAAAGCTTGTTCCATATTTTGATTCCAATTTTCTGATTTGGCAGCCTGTTCCAGAGTCTCCCTGCACTGCTTCTTGAAAATCTTCTCTTAATTCCCTGCTTAAATTTATTCCTAACTGCTTCTGCAGAATTAATGTGCTTCTCAAGTACAACAGATTGCCTCATTGAAAACCCATTGGGCACAACAGGAACACTTTCCAGTCAGCCATCACATCAAAGAGACTAATTCACAATTGCTACATTAATGCAGTTGAGCTCAGGAATGAACTTGTTGGAGTTTAGTCTGTCATCAGCCTTTTCTAGCTCATGCACCAGGACTTGCAATTGTAAAATAGAGCAGCCTGGGGGTCACCCTGGCTTTGTGCTTGTCTTTACGGTGCTGCTGCAGAAGAGTGAGCTGGGGTACAGTGCCACGTTTCAGGTTTCCCTGCCCTCTAGGAAGGGGATGAAATACCAGCTTGCTGGAGCATTGGCTGTATGGTGGTCAGGCAGGTGTCTGGTGCAACAGGGAGGTTCTTGGGGCACTGCTTGCAGTCAGAAAAGACCTTGAATGTCCCTGAGATACAGGCCCCACATTTTGAATTTCTTCACGAATTTTCTGCCTGCATTATTTTTGTTGTTTCTGGCAGGACTGAAGTCATGATTCTTTAGAGGAGAGCATTTGGAAAACATCTGGATAAGAACAAGCTTTTGTGCCTCAGGTGTGGCCAACACAACCACCTTCTGTTGCTAAAATAGAAAATGTCTAAGAATGGGGAGTTTTCTCTCCCAAAGGTCAGGAAAAAAACACCTGCTTCTGCAAATTGGGCAGTTCTGGAGCTGTGAAAAAAATGTACCATGTACAGTACAAGCCCTTCTCTCTGGGAGGTAGAGCTCCTGGGGTGTACAAGGATGTCTCTGACTCTCAAGTCTGTTATATTGTCTTTGCACTGATTCATTTTTTCACTGGTGGGGTGGGTAATTTTGATTGTGATGAATCTATTAAATACTATATTACTTAGACTTGCCATAATATGACTTATTGTAAGATTAGGGTTTGGTGATGGCAATTTCAGATTCTTCCATTTACAAATGGAAGTAATTGAGATTAAATATCAGAAGCTGCAGGCTCTAGGAATTAAACTCTTTCTTCTCCAACTGTTTCTGCATCTGTGTAATGCCACAGATTAATGGAGATAATCTTGGTTATACCTATGCCATTCTTGTGACTTGGATGGCATCACACCATTGCACAAGGTGATTATAGGAAGAGAATCAGGCCCAGAGGACTCAGAGATTATATAAACATGCCTTGTACTATAATCCTAAAACTGCTCTATTAGCTGAATTGTTATAAAAGAGGAAATTTTAAAAGCTTAGTATGACCTAAGCATCTGATTTAATAATATGTTCTGTCTGATAGAACAAACTCCCTGGGGAGGAAAAGAAAGGGGTAAATCTCAGAGCAGCAGGGAAGATTTTGAGGAGCCTCACAGTCTTGCACAAATGCTGTGTCTGAGAAAATGGACCCAACCTTGGTGTCCTCAAAGGTGCTTGGACTGCAAATGAATACTAACACCAGTGAGCGCTGGGAAAGAAATCATTAAA